GCTCTTTACTCATCTTGTCTCTATCAATCAGGCATCGATGGGCGTAAACCCTGAATAGCTTAGTCCAACTAGATGCGCTATTTGCAATTAGCCTAAAAAGACACTCCGAAATTGTCTTTTTTTCTCTCCCCTCGCAGGGGCCCCTAGTGCGCACGGGCCCCTGGGCCTGTGCCCATAAGGCCCATTGGTTAATCCGGCCCTGGGCTTGAGTTTGAAAAAGTATGGTTCAAAAGCAAAAGAAATAAAAGCAATATAAAATCAAGGTAAAACTATGTTGCTTTAGTGCACTTTTCTCTTATGTTTGCTTTGGAAAACACTATTGGTTGGGTTTAGGGAAAGATTTAAGTCAGTGGTTGGCAGATCAAGACAACAAGTGGAGCCTTCTCATGGCCATGTACAAGAAGGACATGCATCTATGATGTAAATGACGAAACCCTGACGTTTAAAAAAATGCACCCATTTTATAGTATTTAGACAGCGCCCTCTAGTGGATTTGTCATCTGAAACGTGCAACAAAAGGTAACCAGAGCAACATGTCTTAGGTTTCAAAAAAATGTACAGTAGGCTGAGGCAGGTTTTTCAATGAGCCTGGGTTGCATTCCTCCATGGAAGAGAGTGTGTCATAAGAACACCACTGAATACGTAAAGATATCAACAAAACAATATTCAATCACTCACTGCTGTTGCAACACAGGCTCATTGGCAATGCATGCTTTAGCCTACATGTTTGTGAAACCAAGAAAATGTACTTCAGTAAGTAGATAAATACCACAAAACAGCTTACATGCTTATGATGTGTAATGGAATACGTTTGCCTCTCTATCTATCTTCATTTGGACAACATTTCTAGTGTGGTCATTTTACTCGATAGCCCACTTTGGTGTTGTACTTGTGAAGCAGAGCGCTCAGGTTTGAGTTTGAAAAACTATGGTTTAAAAGAGATAAAAGCAATGTAAAATCATGGTAAAACTACGTTGCTGTGGTGCACTTTACTCTTATGTTTGCTTTGGAAAACACTATTGGTTGGGTTTAGGGAAGGGTTTAAGTCAGTGTTTGCTGATCTAGATGACAAGTGTTGCCTTTTCATGGACATGTACAAGAAGGACATGTTTCTAATATGTACAATAACTAACATTTGTAGACAGCACCCTCTGATTTGTTATCTGAAATGTGCAATGAAACGTATCCAGAGCAACATATCTTAGGTTTCGCAAAAATTTACAGTAGTCTAGTACAGGAGTGGGTTGTGTTTCTCCAAAGAAGAGTGTGTGTAAACAAAACACCAGTGAATATGTGATGACGCACAGATGGTGTTTAATTGCGGCTCATCACAGGACCATAAATCTTCCATTACATCAGCTCACCAATGGAGCTGTGCATGCATGAGGCCACTCTAGTGTTTTCTTTCAGATGTAAGCCCAAGCTTAATTCTGCCTTTAAAATATTAAAGTACTAATAGATTATTATTAGAAATATGAGTTGTTAGAAATTGGAAAAAGTACAGAATCTGAAGTTAAATGACTAATGGGAAACTCAAAGATAATTTTGTGTGTGTGTGTGTGTGTGTGTGTGTGTGTGTGTGTGTGTGTGTGTGTGTGTGTGTGTGTGTGTGTGTGTGTGTGTGTGTGTGTGTGTGTGTGTGTGTGTGTGTGTGTAAAAAAAAAACAGTGTGACCGAGTGCTGTGACTTTTCTTTTTCCACAGTTATTGTGTGTGTGTGTGTGTGTGTGTGTGTGTGTGTGTGTGTGTGTGTGTGTGTGTGTGTGTGTGTAAAAAAAAAACAGTGTGACCGAGTGCTGTGACTTTTCTTTTTCCACAGTTATTAAAGTAAAGCGAATGCATATTTATGTTTAATAAATCGTGAAATCAGCATGGGACTTTTCAAGCATATTCCATAAATACATTTCACATATATGTATTATATATTGTACAAATGTATATGTATAATTTACAGTGACCTAATATAAAATAGGGGCGTCACGGTGGCGTAGTGGGTTGCACGATGGCCTCACAGCAAGAAGGTCACTGGTTTGAGCCTGGGTGAGTTGGCATTTCTGTGTGGGGTTTGCATTTTCCCCCTGTTTTGGCGTGGGTTTCCTTTGGGTTTACCCTGTCTAAAGACATGCGCTATATATGAATTGGGTTGGCTAAATTGTCCGTAGTGTATGTGTGTGAATGAGAGTGTATGGGTGTTTTACTTATACTAGGTTGCAGTTGGAAAGGCATCCGCTGTGTATAACATATGCTGGAATAGTTGGCGGTTCATTCTGCTGTGTCCAACCCCTGATAAATAAGGGACTAAGCTGAAGGAAAATTAATGTATGAACGAATAATGTAAAATAATGCAAAATGCTTAATTGTAAACTTTTTTGATACTAATTATTCATTCATTCATTCATTCATTCATTCATTCATTCATAATAATAATAACAATAATAATAATAATAATAATAACAATTTGAAAACTTCTACTAATAATGATAATATTAATAATAATAATAATAATAATAATAAGAAGAAGAAGAAGAAGAAGAAGAAGAAGAATAGCCAAGATATAATACAAATTGTTCAATTTGATTTTCATTCATTCATTCATTTTCCTTGGGCTTAGTCCTTTTATTAATCTGGGGTCGCCACAGTGGAATGAACTGCCAACTTATCCAGAATATGTTAAAAGCAGCGGATGCCCTTCCAGCCACAACCCAGTACTGGGAAAAACCCACACTCACATGTGACATACACTCATATTCACACACACACAGTACGGCCAATTTAGTTTATTCAATTCACCTACCAGATGTCTTTGGACTGCATGTGGCGGAAACCGGAGCACCCGGAGGAAACATGTGCCAACACGGGGAGAACATGCAAACTCCACATAGAAATGCCTACTGACCCAGCCGGGGCTCGAACCAGTAATCTTCTTGCTGTGAGGTGATCGTGCTATTCACTGAGCCACAGTGCCGCCTTAATTTGAGTTTGTTATAGTTTTCTTTTTTTACTTAAAAAAAAAAAGAACTCCAAATTTAAAGTAAATTACTAGTATTATTGTTTATTCAGTCTGTATAATTTTATTTAACAACAATAATAATTGCAATCAAATGTGTTTCCCTGATACATTCTACTGCATGTTTTTGTCATTGGTGTTTTGTTTGTTTAATGGTAAAAAATTATATATTCCTATTGTAAATGTTCTCAAGATGGTCCTGTAAGTTGACGCTGTGTTGTAAATGACATGCAGTTTACACTCCGTCCTGTAGGTGCAGCAGTTTCCACAGGGATGCCGTGAATGCTCTGAGTTTTTGAATGGATGTCAATGGAAGAGAAGCTTCAGTAAACAGCTCATAAACCGCTTAATGAATCACTAATGAATAGACAGCCTGGCCGCTAATCTGCCACGTGTTTGCCATTAAACACTTCTTCTCGGGTCAGGTTTTTTCTTCTTCTTTTCATTTTTTTGCAATAGGTAGTATTAAGTACTACTTGTTAATTTTATATCATATCATATTTATTTATTTATTGTATCGAGTTTACAAAACCAATCCACTTACTGCCAAATGGTTTTCTAAAATATTTTTAATACTGAAAAATATTCCGTTTTTTGAATGTTGAATTTTTTGAATATTGAATATTTTTTGAAAACAAAATGAATCACACATTTTGTTTTAATCAAATCATTCATTCGTTTTCTTTTCGGCTTAGTCCTTTTATTAATTAGGTTTCGCCACAACAGAATGAACCGCCAACTTATCCAGCATATGTTTAACACAGCGGATGCCCTTCCAGCTTCTAACTCAGCCAGGGCTCGAACCAGTGACCTTCTTGCTGTGAGGCGATTGTAATTAGGTAATGAGTTTATTATTGATTCAATGTTTTTGTTGTCCTGTTGCACTACGGTATGTATATGCAGGGCTGGCGCGTCCATAGAGGCAACCCAGGTGGGCGCCTAGGGCGACAGAATAGACAGAGGGTGTCGGCTACATCTCCTCACTTTCGTCCGCGGTCATACGTACAATCCCACCCCCGTCTCTCGTTTTCACTTTCAGTTTGAGGGCGGCATTATCATCTTTTGCCTAAAGCACCAGTTCCGTTTGCTGGGTATGGAATCTCACTAATCAAAATTTTAAACGAAACAAAGGTTAAAATAAAATGTCTTTAACATATTCAAAATTATTATTCAATACATATTTGTAAAATATTTTATTTATTGAGTAAATAAAATAACAAATAGAGTAAAAAAAAATCTCAAGATTTTACATATTAAAAATTATTGTTAATTTGGTTTTTTATATTTATCATTTATTATGTAGTGATTTTATTATTGTATTTATTTATTATTAAATTTATTCGCTCTTTTGGTCTATTGCACGTCATGCACAGCAAAATATGGGGACACAAAACAACTCTAATAGATTTAATTTCAACAATTTCTGAAGTGTTGTCATATTGACACATACAATAGGGTTAATTGGACAAAATCAAACAAAGCAAAAAACAAATAAAATGAAATAAATTAAGATAAAATTGCTTTAATCTATTCAAAATTATTATTCAAAAATGACATTTAAAGGATTAATTTTATTGGTTAATGATTTTATTAATGATTCACTTTATACTGTATATGAAAACTCACTGGTCACAAAACAGTCAAACTAAATAATCAAATAAAAAAATCTCAAGTTTTAACTTATTGTTAAAAACCATATTAAGAAATATTTCTAATTTAAAATAAAATAAAACAAAGTCACTGATAAAATAAAACAAAGGACAAAATAAAATACAATAAAACAAAACAAAACAAAATAAAACAAGACAAAATAAAATAAATTAAAATAAATAAATAAATAAATAAATAAACAAATAAATAAAAAAATAAAATAAAATAAAATAAAATAAAATAAAATAAAAATTTCCTTCCAGAAATAATGTGGTCTGTCTTTATGAAGGGAGTGTCATGTACCTGTAGTCTGAGGAGCTTCAGAGGATTAGATCAATTAAGCTCCTTCTGGGCTTTATGTCAAGAATAGAACAATAAGAAGTGGAGCAGTGCCCTGATATCAGCTCATGCTGCTGTTTGCTCAAATACTGGCCTTTTCTTCATTACTTTTCTCAAGACACCGCTGTGGAGACCTGCACTAACTGCCTTCAGGTGAGAAAACGCGTTTATATGGATTCTGTGTCAAGTAAGAGTCTCTCTGTAGTTGTCGACAGTCATTCTGTCATCACAAGGTTAGGACTTTGCTGACTCGTGCAAACCATGACGGGGGAAACACACACGCGATTGACGTCTTTCCTAATTCATAGACAAAAATATCAGAGTATCAAACCAGTAAAACTACAAAAATACCTGAGCTAATGCTGCGTTTATGGAATAGTTTCTGTTTGTTATGCTTTTGTACGTCTGTTTGTTGACTGACTTTACTGACCAGAGCTTTTATGAAAAAAAATACTATAGTAATTTCTAAGTAAATCGAGTTTTTGAACCATACTAAAGTATAAAGTACTTGAAATAATATTTTGAGGTAATTTTATACTTGCTTCGGCTACAATCAACGACAGTAATAGCTATGAACAAACGACAGAATACATTTTCTAAATATAGTTGTATACTAGTATACAAGGAGTGTACTACAATTGACCACAGTTTACTCCGTTGTAAAAACTATAGTACTACTTACAGTAGGCTATCAAATTACAGTAGTATGTTGTAGCATTCATTAACAACATGTTGTAAATGTAAATATGATAAATGTAAGTATATAGGTATAATACATTTTGCTTTAGTATGGTGAAAACATATAACAACATATAACTACTGTACGTAGTATTTAAGTAGCCTATAAACACATTTTGCTATAGTATGGTTCAAAAACACTATGGTAACTTCTATAAAATACTATAGTGTTTTTATTTTTATTTATTTTTATTTTTTAGTTTAATGTGGTGTTTTTGAACCATACTATTGTAAAGTACTTAAATTATCATTTGTGGTAATCCTATGGTAACAGTAATTTAACCAAATGACTCAAATACTGTTGCTCGTTTTGCAACTGGGTATATTATACTACACAGCAAATTATGAGGTGTTGAATTTCTGGTGTAAGTCCCTGTAGTGTTATAGTGTTAATATCCAAGTGTACATATACTGTTTTAACACTGATGTGGGTTGAATTAAATACTTAAACACTCATTTTAGTAAGGCAAAAGAAAAGAGTTATTATTATTATTATTATTATTATTATTATTATTATTATTATTATTATTATTATTATTATTATTATTCCAGGGTGTTAAAACATATACACTTTTCTTACTCAAGTCAGTTTAAAAAAAATGAATTTATGCTAAATATGACCTGGTAGTGGTGATAGAATATTTAATCTAGTATACAGTTTTTGCATTCTTAATGTACAATTATTTACTCTCCTTAAGTGTATATATTCAACGCTTATTAAAGTGTAACTTATACACTGGGCTGGTGGGACTCGTACACCAGAAGAGAGTGTAATTTAACACCAGTGGAGTTATATGTAGAATAGACAATTTGCCCTACAGGTGTTAAAAATGTTTCATGTGGTGTGAATTTTACACTCCAAGTTTAAAATATTTTTAACTGGGGAGGTGTATATATTCAACACTTGAAAGTGTAACCTGGGCACTTTGATGGATGGACTCATATATACACCAGAAAAGTGTTAAATGCAACACCTGTGGTTTAAAATGTAAACTGGCAAACTTGCTGTGTATGGTACAATACACCCTGTAGTTAGAAAATGTTTTGGGTCATTTGTATATATTACTGTTGTTTATGTGTTACCATACCAACAATTAAATTACCACAAATGATTCAGGTACTTTACTATAGTATGGTTTTAAAAACACCACATTAACCATCGAAATAATTCCATTTAAATTTTTACAACCCCACATTAAAAACACTCCTGTAATATATAGAAGATAGTTATATATTTATATGTAGTTGGTTATATGTATTTGTTTTTTAACCATACTACAGCAAAGTGTATTATACTTACATACTTACATTTATCATATTTATACTGTATTTACAACATTTTGGTAATGAATCCTACAACAAACTGTAATTTGAACTATAGTCAACTGATAAACACTGTAGTATACTTCAGTTTTTAAAGTAAGCTGTAGAGAATTGTAGTATAATAGTTGTAAAAAAAAATACAGTATTTGAGTTATTTGGTTAAATTACTGTTACAAGAGGATTACCACAAATGATTAATTCAATTACTTTACTATAGTATTGTTTAAAAACACCACATTAAACTTCAAAATAATTCAATTTCAATTTACACAGCCATACTATACACATAATAATACACTATAGTATTTTACAGAAGATACTATAGTTTTTTTTGAACATGTAGTAAAAACTGGAGTATACTACAGTGTTTATCAGTGCAGAACTGTAGTTCAAATTACAGCATGCTGTAGCATTCATTACCAAAGTGTTGTAAATATAAATATGATAATGTAAGTATTTTGGTTAAAAATACTTTGGTTAAAATACTATAGTGTATTTTAATGTGAGGCTGTATAAATTGAAATTGAATTATTTTGAAGTTTAATGTGGTGTTTTTGAACCATAGTATAGTAAAGTACTTAATTAATCATTTAAAATAATCCGGGGGGCTAATAATTCTGACCTCAACTGTATATAGGCCTGTATATATATATGTGTGTGTGTGTGTGTGTGTGTCAGTGGATGGATGGATGGATGGATGGATGGATGGATGGATGGATGGATGGATGGATGGATGGATGGATGGATGGATGGATGGATGGATGGATGGATGGATGGATGGATGGATGGATGGATGGATAGATAGATAGATAGATAGATAGATAGATAGATAGATAGATAGATAGATAGATAGATAGATAGATAGATAGATAGATAGATAGATAGATAGATAGATAGATAGATAGATAGATAGATATTTAAAAAGTACACAGATTCAAAGAGAACCACAGGTCAACAGAGATTACAAAAGAGCAGCTTCTGCTTTAAACTGGACTGACTGAATATTTACTATTAAATGTCTACTATTCAAAAATATAGACTATAATGTAAAATACAGTAAAACACCCTAAATCTGTTGAAACGCGTCGGCCTGATGGCGGTTGAGTTTGCAGCTGGATATTATTGGGAGATTGCTGACAGGAACAGTGAACATCTTCGCCAGAACGCATCTGAAGCTCTTAAGCAAGTTTATTTTACATTCTATGGCAAAAACACCACTGAACCTCGCTAGATCTTCCTGTATGTGTGCGCGTCCGTTATAAAACACTCACAGGACATTAATTTGGACAACTAAGTGAATATATTAAATAGTTCACCCAAAAATACACTTAGAGAGACTTTCACTTTTACTTCACCCATAGTTTGTGAATGAACAGACTTGTGTGTACTAGCTGCAGACGCGATTATGAGGCTATTTTTGCATCTTTTTTTTATTTTTATTATTTTTGCATTTTTGCGAGTTTGAAGTAATCAATCAGAGAACAGGAGAACGTACATTACTTTGATCGTTTTAACATAGCATATTAATAAAATAATAAAATTATAGTATAATATTGAGAGCTAATTTTAAGCAGCCCACCTGCAGGATCGCAGAGGCCCACGCCTACGGCCCACTGGTTGAGAATCCCTGACTTTAATAATATGATCATTTAAAATAACCACAAGCAATACGTTTCAAGTGTGTTTCACTGGAGTATTCCATAGCTTTATGAATAAACAAAACATGTTTACAGATTATGATATTAATATCATCAGGGCTTGATTTGTGCCGGATCCGCCACCTCTGAAATCTGATCCGGCAGCACCTCATTTTACCGATCCCCCTCCTCACCCACTCTTCACCTCCATCCACTGTTCACTTTAACTTTGTTCTTCGACTCCCAACCCTCTTTACTTTCGTCCGCGACAACCAACCCTGGCCCCAGCTATTAACTTACATCCACAACACCCTTCCGCTATCCAACGCCCCCCGCTCTCCACTTTCCTACGTGACACCTCTACATCCTCGGGTACCATGCCGAATCTGTTACCCCGATCTGTTCCAGGACCTCGCGATTCACAACTTAAGCACTGAACATCACCCCAGCAAAAAATAAATAAATACTATAGTAACTTAAATTATAGTAAATACGATTGTGTTTTGAAAACATGCTATAGTAAACTATTTTAATTAATCTGTTGCTGAAATATGGTATAAACCATAGTAATATGAACTACTCAATATTGTACTACATTTTCTACAACAATGAGATATACTATGTTAAAATATACTCTAGTAAAAACTATCCATATATAAGTATACAACAGTATTTATTACAGTATGCTCATTAACTATGTTCAACTATATCTAAAATACACTTTCCCATAGTATGTTTCAAAAACACAACTGTACTTACTATATAATTTTTTACATGTGTGTAAAGCTGATGAAATGAGGTGATTGCTATGTCGACAACCTATGCATTTCTGAGTGTGCCTCACACAGGTGAGTGGGCTTTACAAACCACCTGTAGAAAATAAACTCTTTTATCTCTCTGACACTTTAGCCCACACTTGCACCAGACAATAGCCCCTTTCACACATACAGACCTTTCCAAAAAATTACCAGCAATTTTCCTGAAAGGTGTGTATGTGTGAACAGGTCCTTTTTGAAAATACCGGTAAATTCGATCTGGCTATTTTCCGGAACGAGAAGTTGTAACATTACTGCTAATTTGCCGGAATACTGCGCTGTGTGAACGCAGAAGGAAGATTGCCGGAAGGAGCGTGTGCACGTCTAGAACGTGCTGACGTGAGACGTCTGCTTTAGCCAATCAGAACAGTCAGACTCATTTACGTCCGCTCAGTTTATGAGATATAGACACATTTAGCTGCTAGAAGTTAGTCAGACAACATTTATATGTTCATCTTAATGCCAACTGTGTAAATAATTATCGATAAGATGCTTATGATAAGCCGTTGTTTGTTTACTTTCAAGCTCTGCTTCCTTTAGTTGCTTGACGTGTCGCGTGTGCCTGTGAAGCAGCCTGTGAGCGCCAGCACACACACATATCACGTACATCTCGACATGTGAAAGTGTATCTCTATATGTTTTCATCGAAGTTGTTCGCTATATTGATCCATCAATAGAGTTTGTGATGTAGTCAAATGTTTACAAATACAAGCCATTTAAAGGTCATTTCTGGTTAATGATGTCAGAATTTACCAGTATTTTGGACTGGATGTGTGAATGCTCTTTTCCGGAAAAATTCCGTAACGTCCTCGCCTGTGTGAACAGCGCTTTTTTTAAATTAACGGTAAAGTGGTTTCGGAAATTTTCCAGATATTTACCGGTATCAGTGTGTGAAAGTGGCTATTGTCTTTCTATCTCTTTATATCTCTGAAAAACAAAAACATTTATGAAGTGTACTTCACACAGGTGAGTGGGCTTGACAAACCACCTGTTGACACACTCTTCTCTCTCTAAAAAGTTAAACACACTTCTCCTCCTTACTCTAGCACTTAATTCCCTAAGCACAAACCGTTCCTGTGTACAAATAGCCCTTCTTGTGTGTATTTCTTCTCTATATTCAATCGCTGAATGCCTCCTCGCTTGCAAATGGCTTTGCAAAGTCAAGCTGCTAAATGACTAAGTGTAAATGTTTTACAGGAGTGTAGATGTGCCGGTGCGCAGCAGAATGAGCCGGAGGAAGAGGAGGAACAGCCGCAGGAGGAAGAGCTCCAGCAGCAGTAAACGTGAGTGTGGATCTAAATGCGTCTGAGGGTCCACGTGTGCAGGATTATCAGCTAAACTCTGTCTGAGTCACGCTTAACCCATGCCTGATGCACAACCCAGACACGAGAGCCCGATTTACACACACACCAGCCCACAATGTGCTTCATTACAGTAAATGAAGCACATTACAGTTCACATTAAGGCACATCTCCTAATTTATCATTTGATTTTTAATCTCATTTATTTGGTCAGGGAGTCATTCATTCATTTTCCTTCAACTTAGTCCCTTATTTATCAGGGGTGGCCACAGCAGAATGAACTGCCAACCATTCCAGCATGTTTTTATGCAGCAAACCAGTACAGGGAAATTTCAGAGATTAGTGTAAAATACAGTTGGCACTTAATTTAATGTACAGTATTAGCACTCAGAAGATTCTTAGGTAAAGTTGTGCTCATAAGTTTGCACACCTCTTGCTAAATATATACAAATATTATCATTTCAAATATGAGGGATCATACAATTTCATGTTGTGCTTTTTGTCCCACTTTTTCTCAAAACTAATGTTTATTTACAATTAAACTTACTAGCCCATTAAAATATTATTGAATTTCCTCGTTCAAAAGTTAACATGAATTTTTATTGTCTGACATTACCAGGATGATACACATATTAATGTTTAGGGATAGTTGTTCTGGAGTTTCTTGTTATTTGTTATTATTCTAATTAGTTAAAAAGTTAAACATTTAGGATAATGTTATTTTTGGAATGTTCTTAGTACATTTAAAACATCCTATTTTTTTATATGATGTATTAACATGATTTTTTTGTTATAATGGAGACTTTTCACAAGACACATTTAACAGTCATCATAATCTTAAATCCCTGAAAATGTTTCACATTTGTTTTTTTTTAAACAATAGTTGAAGTCAGAATTATTCGCCCCCCTTTGAATTTTTTTCTTTTTTAAATATTTCCCAAATTTTGTTTAACAGAGCAAGGACATTTTCACAGTATGTCTGATAATATTTTTTCTTCTGGAGAAAGCCTTATTTGTTTTATTTCAGGTAGAATAAAAGCAGTTTTAAAATTTTTTATGAACCATTTTAAGGTCAAAATTATTAGCCCCATTAAGCTATATATTTTCCATAGTCTACAGAATGAACCATCTTTATACAATCACTTGCCTAATTACCCTAAACTGTCTAGTTAACCTAATTAACCTACTTATACCTTTAAATGTCACTTTAAGCTGTATGGAAGTGCTGAAAATATCTGGTAAAATATTATTAACTGTCATCATGGCAAATATAAAATAAATCAGTTATTAGAAATGAGTTATTAAAACTATTGTTGAGAAATGTGTCTTCAAATTCACACTGTGCAAAAGACATATTGAGTTGAGGCAAATTCTTTTACTTATTGGAGCTTAGTTTGCCACTTGAGCATGATAAAATGATCATTAAATGTAAGAATGGTTTTTAAACCACAGCGGTTCAAACTGTAGTTCTGCCGAGTGACTAAAAAGTTATCAGCATCATGGTAAAAAACTGTACATTTCTAGTCAAACCACGCCTCTGCAATCTCATACCAAAAACGAAAATAAGGGCAGTATTAGCTATAAATGTGGGAGAGCGTTGATGTTATGTGATTGTATTGTATTGCACAATTATATAGAACAATTAAATGTTGATTTAAAATCAAAAAGTAATTCACAAATATTTGAAAATGAGATGATTCATCTATCTATGCGGTGTAAACTGGCCTTAAAAAGCACCATCTTTTAGATGTTAAGGCAAGGTTCTGACTCTCTGATCCTTCTTGTCAAAGAGTACGGGTGTAACCCCAGTGTCCTGGCCAAATTCCATCCATATGTTGTTTTCAGTCGTGTCCTACTAGTAATCCCTATCCATTGACTTGTCTCAATCACTCACCTGTCCTCACCTCCTATCTGCTTGTTAAGTTGTGGCATGTTAAATACCATGCTCGTGTTGTTTTCCGGTCCATGTCTCTACTCATTTAAATTGATAAAACTCTTTTGCAATAGCCATTTTTGCCCTATTTACTTACATCACATATTAAATCATTTACATTATCACAGTTAATCATAGTTAAAGTTGCTAGTGCAGCTGAAGTTAGACCACAAAAACAACTGAATGGAATTTCAGTAGAGAGCATGGCATTACTGAAGATTTTTCTCATTCCTTTTGTCATCAGAAGATGTTTAAGGTGACCCTGAGCATGGAAAAATATGCATCATGTGTGATTTGTGCTAACTGTTGTTAGAGTTTGATATACTGCAGTTTGAGTATAAGTATGGGGTTGATTGTGTTACTTTTTAAAATAGGATTCGGGTGATGATGTTAAATGTATTTGTGTTACTTGTTCCCTTTTATGTGATAAATGTGATGATGGTGAATGTAATTGATTGGTGAAGCCAAACACAAATTTCCACATGTGGACACTAAACAGTCAAAGTCAAAAATTGACTTCAATATCTGGAGTACGTATCAGATGTACATAATTGATTACGTTACTCAAGTATGCCCATGTAAGTTGCACAAGTGTCCACTACTAGTGGAACATCTGAATGGGTTTAAGTGTGGTTTATTTATAAACTAATTTCGAGAGGATCACGTGCTTATGATCAACACGGCTGGCACTTCGTTAGCTCCGTAATCTGCCCTAGTAGATGATTACGGAAGCATTATATATAACCAGAGTTTTCCACTCCAGTTATCTTCGTCTTGAAGTTTCCCCTCCTTCCCTTCTACTTCCCACCCTTTTTTCGGATAGGGCGACATGGTATCCCAGTGGCTAGCACTGCTGCCTCACTGAAAGAACACAGCTGGTCCAACCTCCTATGGGGCCGGTTGGCATTTCAGTGCGGAGTTTTGATGTTCTCCCCGTATTCGTGTGGGTTTCCCCTGGGTTCCCCGGTTTCCTCCCACTGTCCAAAAGCATACACCATAGCTAATTGACTAAGCTAATCGATCTGCCTTCTGGCCTCTGTCCATCATTGCCTCCTAAACTCTCCCCATATCATAATTGGCTTCATCAGTCTCTCTCCTCTCCACCAATCAGCTGGTGTGTGGTGTGCGGTCTGGCGTAAAATGGCTTATTATTATTATTAATCCAAATTATCACCAAAGACAACCCTAGTTTACACTTCTCACACAGCGACAAGCAGGGGAGTTCTTGAGACCTACCTGAGCTCAAACTTCCCTGTCACCCTTCTAACAGGAGGGAGCCCCGGGCTTGAGGATATTACGAGCTCAGGGCTCTCTGCCGGGACAGCTTGCCAATTACACTTTATTGATTATCAGCTAACTGTGAACTCTTGAAATGGAATGCAATAAAAAGTAATTTGCTTAGCTTACAGCAGGGCTATCCAATTGGCGGCCCGTGCGCCGAACTCAGCCCCTGACGCAATTAGTTCCGGCCCTCCAATTAGTGTGACCAAGACATCAAAAATAAATTTAGTTCAGTCAAAAAATGGCCACTATAGTTATGAAGTGACATGCAATACAGAACGAGGTGCAGTGATGTGACATTAAGCGAGAGAGTGGCGCGAGCAGCCCAAAACATTTGGATATGTTTGTAGAAAAGGCTTTTTGTACATGGAATGAAACTGCTGCAACTAAACAAAGTTATGCCAACTGTGCGCTAGTTAAAAGTTCTGAGCTTGCACATTGAGGCTAATACTGTCACGGTACATTGAAAGGATGGAAACAAAAAGGTAGGATCCAAATTTTTTAATGAAGAAATAATAGTGCAGATAACAGAAAAACAACAGGACGTCCAAAAATCAAAGTATCAAAACAACAATAAAAAACAAAACAAGAAACTAAAGCAAGGTACGGGAACACAGCACATGAACAACATACCATACAAAGACACGAGACTCAGCAACATCAAACGGGCACAGGGTGTATAAATAGTCCAAACAATCAATAATGATTCAGCTGCGTGTGTGATCAGTGGAAGTGAAACCTGGTGTATGTGTAGCAGAATGAAGGGATTTGTAGTTCATGACGTTCACCAGCGATCTCTGCAAAACTTGATTGCCGGTGAACATGACAAAAACACACGCATGCTGGATTAACTATAGCAGCGAGTCGTTCACATATTGTGTCTTTTTTGCGTGCAAGTTTGTTTTTTCTAATGTAAGAATATTTGCCAGTATGCGCCCTCAAGTGGAGCAGCGCACTTGCGGCTTTCCGAGCACACCCAGAGAAAACAAATCACACTATAGTGGTGAGAGTTGTGCGTGGCGTTCAGTGCAATGTAAACAAAAGATATGTTAGGGGAAGTATTATAAAATGATTATGTATGTATGAACGCAGATGATAACAACAGTTAATTTAAATACTTAATTAATATAAAGCTTAAACTCACATTAGATGTGATAACCGTGAAACCATGATTATACTTCAGACTATAATCAAACAACCAAAATCTATAATGCACTTCAAAAAATAACTTATGAATGTGTCTGAATGTAGAAGAAGCCTACTTAAGCAATAGACTGAAATACAACATTTGAATATGTTTGTAAAAAAAAAAAAAAAAAGCCTATTGTACAATGCAGTGATGTTATATAGTTTCAAAATACAACATATTAACATTTTAATATAGAAAAAGCCAACGCGGGTCTCTTAAGAAGCAAAAATACAACATATTGGCTCTTTTATGCTGTTGTGTCATCACTCATATTGCAAGTCATATCTATCCGGCCCCTCATTTGGGATGCTTTTCATGAACTGCCCCCTGTCCAACTAATTGAATAGCCCTGCAAGGAATTATTTGGTTTGAACAAATTGTAAGACATCAAGTCATTTTCAACTTAAGGGAATCGCTTGTCACCCCCAACTGGCAGTTCTAGTGTTATGTTTATTAGGGATGGACTGCATTTTCATATGAGCGCTTAGGAACTACAATGTTGTGACATCACAATTGCAAATTGGTGCAAGAGTTGACATATTTAAGAGTTGATCGATTTTCTGTCAAAATCAAGGGGTCAAAAAGAGTATGACAATGTAAGCTTCCCCTAAATACTTGATAAAGTGGAACACACTTTAAAACGGAAGTGGGGATTCCCCTGAGGGGAAGTGCTTAGAGAGGTTTGTGAGTGGAACGCAGTCATACTCAGTCTGTGCTGCACATGGTGCTCGGTAATATGAGACCTGACATGATTGTAAAATGCTTTGAGTAAATAGTAAAAATTGTCATAAAAGGCCCTCATCCAGATATTAAAAGAGATCTGTTTGATGTGTGCTCATTATTTTTGAGGGAACTTTCATTTTTTGACAAAAGTTAAGCAAATTCTTATAAAAATTTGTAAATAAATCTTTAAATCTTGTCTTTTTCCTTAAAAACTGAACAAAGATTATATTGCAACAAAAAAGAAACATGAAAAGATAGTTATGTGCATCTAATGCATCTAAACCTCTTCTCTTTTTCACACAGAATGCATCTCTCCATATAATTTCCAAAGGCAAACTGTGATGGACGCTGTGGTTCATGGGGAGGATTTTGCAGAGAAGGGAGAAACGGACTCTTTCTGTAAAGAACATATAGTGTCAGAGTCTGAAGATGAGAAAGAGACAGAGGCTCCAAGCATGGAGAAAGAAAACGAATCCACGAGTAATGAAGATTTCTTCGAAGACAGACAGATGAGGGACAGGCAAATGCCAATCTCAGAATCAGTGAGCAGAGATCCGGGGTTGAAGATAACTCATTCACTGACCTTCGATAATTTTGGACTGACTTCTCCCAGAGTTGTGTTTGAACGGTGCCATGAGGCTCCTCTAGGAGGAGCAGTTAGCAGTGTGATAGCTGTTACAACCACTGAGGTCAAGTGCATGGGCCCGAACGTGAGGCTTGAGATCAGTGAAGTAGTGACGTCAGATGATTCAAACTTCAAGACGACCGTTACCTTTCAAAACGACAGAGGAGAAGAGACTCATTTCACAAGCCGAATGGAGAAACATCAGAATCACAAAAATCCCCAAATCTACTCATGGACTCAACATGGAGCACATTACCAACAAAATGTAAGCTATAAGATTAGCATCGCAGAGCTAAATGCGGAGTCGTCATGCGCTTCCAAGAGCCAGAGCTCATGGGATGATCCTGAAGAAGTGGCTTGCCGTAAAAGCTGCTGTAAAAATAACTTTCATTGGGGTGGCCAAACTGACACTGATTTCACTCTGGTCGATGGATCTTCCCGATGTTCATCGCTCTCAGATTTTTGGCAACGTCAGAAACAGCCATCACTGCCTACCAGCCCCAGTAATGAGGCATTATGGGATATCCCTCCACCTGAACAATTCGCTGATGGGAACAGCAGTGCATTGGATGTTCTTGCAGAAAATGTTGCGTCATGTCAGATCAGTCCCAGAGAAAACTTCATTAACCAAGACAACATCAATTGCACACAAACAGCGTCTGAGGTCCCCTTATGCAAAGAGTTTATCCGCCAGAATACATTGGAGGAGAATAATGAGCCAAGGTACTGTGAAGAACTATCTGAAGCAAGTCCTCATGAACATTTATTCATGAGCCCCAGAGTTTCAATCAACAGATCCTCTTTCACTAAAAACTTTATCAACAATCATGAAAGAAAGACACGCTTGCGCAACAACAGCATTGCCATTCTAGAAACCAAAACACATCCTGCAGGCTACATGGAGATACCTCCCAAAAGACGAAAGACTTTCCCAGGAGTATCGTATCTTATGAGCCAAGCCAGAGACAGCATTCCCTCATACAGAGAGTCGTTTTCTTCTGGCACGCTGTCTTCCTTCTTCATGCAGTCTCTTCCCTGTCAAGCAGAGAAGATGGGCAGATTCTTTGCAGAAGATGAAAGACTCCGTCCAGTTGGGAGTCGCAAATCTTCCAGTAGCAGTAGCTACAGGCCGAGCTCAAGCTCTACAACTGGTCCGGACTCTTTTGGTCCAAAATGTAGAGCTTATAGCACGATCAAAAACCCTTTTTATCCATCCAGGTCAGATGAAAGTCCAGAAGAAGTCTTCTTTAGAGGTGAACAGTATCATGAGCAGGAGCATCTAGATGAGATGGTGGAGCCCAGTTTGGAAGCCGATGTTGGGATGATGTTTGCTGATCTAGACAGCACCTCTGGGGGACATACTGAGCTGAATGAAGTCAGCGAGAGTGGATTTGATGAGGAGATGGTGGAACTGGACGAGTCCATTTCTGCAGGCAACACCATGGACAGTCATCAAAGGGAGCTTCTTATTCATGTCATCCCACCTTCACTGAGCAACTCTGAAGAAAAAATCAACGAAGGAATACACTACAGCCTCAAGCCCAACACATTTGAGGAAGATGAGACTGAAGGCTTGATGCGAAGAGCATCAGTGATGACAATAATCACTGGGGATAACGAGCAGAGATTTCTACAAGGCAACTACGTCTTCTCACTCGATGGGGAGGTTTCGCCGGATGCTTTGAGCCCAGTAAGTGAGTCTCCAACTGGGTCTCCAATAGAGGACCTCGGCAGCATTAGAGAAGGTGTAGAAGAGCTTCAGGATTCATCCCAAGCACCAAAGACAACAACTGTACAGATGAATATGTCCTCTCAGTCGCCGAATGCAACCCTGGATAAAATAAGCAGAGATGTCTGTAGAACACCAAAAGTGTATAAAAATGATTTGTCTGAACGGCCAAATGCCTCAAAAAGTAAGTACTGAAATGTCTGATACTTTCTTAAAGGTGGTGAGGGATTGAGGTTAAGGGCTTAGAAGTTAAGGTTATAGGTTAGGTTTGTTTGGGATTAGGGATAGGGTCACTGGTTGGTCACAACCAAAAAGATATGTCCTGTTAAAAAGAAATTGGGTGAATCAACTAAAGTCATTTCCATTTAATATATTGTAGTGCATTGATAGTGATAGGATACCTCTAGGGTGGCCATCTGTTCATGGGTGTGAAATCATGAAAATAGGCTTTGTTTAAATGGGCTATATACAGTAGGCAGAATTCCCACATCCTTGTTATTAGTGACTCTGATGGCCGTTAACTGAACTGCAGCCTGCATTTTATTGCTTTAGCAATTTATTGCTCAAACTCTTTTGCGCAAAACATATTATACAAGAGACCGAGCATGATCTAACATCCAGATATACCCACAGTAAGGTTCCTTTTGTTTATTTGGTTGAAAAGAAATGGGAAAAATCAATGTAGTTATGGTTGAAAATCACGATACAAGTGTAGCAGACTTCAAATGGACTTCCCTCTCAAACACGGTCACACACACAGATGAGGTGGAGAAACACTGATTTATTCCCTTAACAAAACAGTCAGTATAGTTTAACACCGGAAACTCTCTCAATCCTCTGCTTCACCATCTGCGTGCACCACGCCACTCAGCAGGCACACAGAGAAAAATGTATTTTCCTATTTTAAACATTTAAATGCCAATAAAAACAAAATCACATAAATTACATAATATAAATAAAATATGTAACATTAAATAACTGTTAATTGTAAATTGCATTAATTTTTGATCACTGATAAAATAAAACCCTTTTTGTTTGCATTAATTGAATTATTAAATATTATAAATTATTATAAAATATTATATAAAATATTATAAAATCTGCCACGACACAATTAAATGACACCAATACTGTAATTTAAACTGATTTACATATTTGAATCCTTAAAATAACAAGCCAATAACCAAAACAACATACCTTAACAAAACAGTGAGGCACAGTCAGTATAGTTTAACACCGGAAACCCTCTCAATCCTACATGAAAAATACACGTGCAAATGAAAACTCTAAAATCACAATAAACACACCATTTAAAGTAAAATATACTCATCACAACAATACACATTACAACAGAAACCCTAAACAGCATTTTAGTGTCAAAATATAATGATTGTGACTGCAAAGGGATAATAATTGTAGGATTAGAGGAGAGCGAAAATTACCTCTGCTTCACCATCTGCGTGCACCACGCGACTGAGCGCGGGCACACAGAGGGAAGCTTTAACATTCACCCAGTGTCACACTATTTACAGCCCCACCTACAACAAACATAGGAACTCTCGAAATGAATAAAACAAAACTTTAGGTGCAAGTTTTGCTGAAGTTAACTAGTACTTGCATATAAAAATAAATAAATAAATCTCTCAAATGAATCGGCCACACAAGCATAACCAACATAGGCTTTTTCTGAAAACATGGCCCTATATCTCTTTCTGTAGATCACGAATTATGTAGCTAGAAGTTCATAGGGCGGCGTTTCGTCTTTAAAACAAATGCTACGGGGTGGTATGATGATTTTTTATTTTGCACTTTCGGCTTTCCCTGTTTGTCCAGTTGGCTTGCTATATTTGTTGGCAGACTTGAGACACTCGAAGAAGAACAATTCCAGAAAGTGGGTAAGACAAAGACAGAAACCAAAAAGAATTAAATAAACAAGTAAATAACAGGGTGAGAATATGGTAAAATATGCAAATGCAGTAAAAATCAGGGGAGGGCTTTTCTATTCCTGGATTGCTTTTTAAAACTGTCGGCAGAGTTTAGGGAAAGGGGTGGGCGTATTAATCTGTGCTTTTGAAACCACTATTGGTTGGGTTTAGGAAAGGAGGAAGGTGAATCAGTCGATCGGTCAGTCAGTCAGTTAGTCAGTAAGTCAGTTAAAAGCGGCCTCTGGTGGATTTACGCATGAACAGCAGGTGTGAATGCGCTCGTGAGAGAAATTTGAGATCTCAAAAAGTGTACACAGCTGCCTCCGGTGAATTTGCAAAAACAAAAACTGCAAAAAAAAAAATGTAGCTCCTTGGATTTGGTGCTTTCCAGAAATGGATATCGCGGTACATTTTCAGAATGAGCCTGGGTTGAGCATAACATTCAAATCAAGGATTTTTTGTTCTCAAGTTTGTGGTCGCTAAAAAGTATTTTGGAGTGTACCTGGCATAAGTGGAAGTTTTAGATGAATATGTAAATATGTGATGCATGCTTTGTCTCAATAACCAGACAGACACACAACACAAAAATATGTTATATGAGCAGGTTTGTCCAGGTAGTTATCAAAATAAATAATTTTAGAATTGAAGCATACATTTAAAATGTCAAAAATATAACAACAGGCAAATATGCCTAATGTAAAAATGTGATCTTAAACCTGAAAAACATGTGAAAACACTATTGTATAAGTCAGGGATACCCAAATTCGGTCCTAGAGAGTCGGTGTCCCGCTTAGTTTAGTTCCAACTTCCTTTAACACACCTACTTGAAGAAGACCTTGATTAGATGGTACAGGTGTATCTAACTGGGGTTGGAAATAAATTTTGCAGAACACTAGTCCTCCAGGACCGAGTTTGTGCACCCTTGGTATAAGTGTTTTGTTGGCCTTGGCTTTACAGTGTTGTATTAATCAACTCTATTCATTTTTCTTTACTCTGTCACACTGTAGATACATTAGAGGTCAAAGAGCACCTAAAGCCTCCAACAGATTCCATTCATAAAGATTCAGAGGATCATTCAGACCACTGGGCAAAGAGACGTAAACTCTTCAAGGAGAGCAAACAGCGTAGTTCTGCAGGAGGAAATTCAATATCTAGCAATATCACAGAGGAATCGGGTAATCACCTACACCCATGCTCATTGAAGGATTAGTTCACCCAAAAATGTAAATTCTGTCATTAATTGCTCAATTTTTATGTTGTTTCAATCCACCTGAGAGATTCGATTATCATCTGAACACAAATTAAGATAATTTAGATGAAATTCAAGGAGCTCCCTCATGCTCTATAGACAGACAAAACAAAAAGATTGTCAAAACCTTCCATGTCTCTTCAATGGTTCGGCTGTAATCACACAAAGCTCCATCTTCTCTTCTACATCAGGTCAGAGTGCACATTTAATACCGGCAATAAGGCTACGTCATGAAGAATGAATTTGTCATGACAGTGTGAACAGCCCAAACCACAATGGAATCTGATCTTTTCAATCCTATTTATCCTACTTTCATATGTGGTATTAAGTCTGATACTGTGTTCATACCAGACTCGGAACTTCCTATTCACGCTTAAATAGACGCGTGAACATTTTGAGTTTACTCCCTTCCTTCGCATGTCAAAATCCACTTTATTCGCTCATCAAATTCACTTCACATCAGATGTGGATTTATATCATGGGCAAGGCTTCTGTCTGCTCGATGACTGTAGCTGCGTTGCTAAATGGCTAACGTGGATTTTATTGGAGAGTATAAAACTGAATAACATGGAGAGAATAACTGTGTTTATGTTATGAAGGCTGAAAAACAGCGCTGATTCATTTGGAGCCGTGTCTGAGTCCGCTAGATCCTTTTAGTGGTGCGCCCTGCTCTGTGAGCTCATAAACTTTCCATAAACTTAACCTGGAAGATGGAGGCTTTCAGTGGTGCTTCTGACTGAGCCGAGCCCAGTTTGATCAACTGTTGCCCGGTGTCAGCAGGAGGATTTCCCCCTGGGACACCAACAACAAGCGCTACGTCATAAGCATGCCCTTGTAAGAGAAAGCTCCTGATTGGTTAACGCAGCGTGAATGTCTGATGAAGTTCAGATTTTTGAACTTGAGCGTTTTGCGCAAAACACGTGTTAAGAGCGTCAGTCGCGTCAATCGTGCAAAACGCTCAATTTGCGCCCCTTTAATCGCATGCAGGATATCTATTCGTATATTTGCATTGACTTTATATGTAAATCACTCGTGCTTGACGTGCTTTTTCTGCGTCTGGTGTGAATGCAGGCATGACACAGATCTGATGTTTAGCAATGCGTCTGCGTTGTTAATGGTCATGTTGGAGTTCATGTGACTTTTATATACTTTTTGATTAACGCATTATTTTGTACTGGTTCATGCTGCAAACACTCTTTACTCCTTAGTGGCATAGCAGAACACAGGGCAAATACTTTACCCCAAAAAACTAAGGTTGTTCATTTTGAATATTTTCTGAATGACTTGGGAGCCAAACATTAACCATTAAACAGTAACCAAAAAAATGATTGTTCGTTAAAAATACCACCATAATAAAATTGCATATATAAAAAGAATAAAATATATTGGCCTACATGAAATAGCTTCATTTTACATAAATAGTAACTAGATGAACAAAACCAAATGCAACAAGTTTAATGCTCTTTTTAAACTTTTGTTGTAGTGAAGGACAAAATCTTTCAATATGCCGGTATAGGCAACATTTTCCTGCTATCATTTTGCTTAGACTTACTTTCCTATGGGAGAAATGCTTAATACTTTATTAACTGCGACTCGTTTGTGTCCTGACCACATGTGGTTGGTTGTTTACTATATCAATAAAGTGTTTAGACTTTTAAAAACACAGTCCATGAGCATTGTTCTTATGACATTTTTTTTTACAGGAGGAAAACACTAATTACATCCAAACACTTCAAATATAGTCTGCGTTAGTGAATGCAAGGCTAATTATGAAGTCCAGGAATAACACTGTATGACAACGCTTCAGATGACTGTTATAGCCTACAGCTAATCAATCTGTCAAATTCTGGAGTGCATTACAGCTCTAAAGAAAAATTTAAATGATAAATGATCTCAAATAAAACAAATACATTTATAGAGATTGTATGTAAGTATATAATTTTATAATACCAAAAGGCAACTGACTGTGTAAATCCACATAAAACAGAACAAAAATACGATGTATATGCCAAGTTCAGTGGCTAATCAGCCGGAATCAGCTGAGGTGAAGTGACGGCGACCAGCGAGACCTAGCTGTCACTCAAGTGGCCACGCCCTTAATTATGCAGACTTAATAAAACCTAATATAAGGGAAACAAGTTAAAAGTTATTAAAAATTCACCCCCCCTCACAGTTGTCTTGAAGGGTAATATTAGCTATATGAACCAAAATCGTTTTATGTACCAGGCTGTACACCTTTTTTTCTGCTGTAAAGTTGGCCATTTTAAAAGCAGGGTCAATAGAAATTTGCTACTAGTGGAATTTCGATGAATTGCAATTTCAGTTACTTCCGTATTTACTTTAAGAGGGAGAGCGGGAGGTTGCTATTTGGTTTTGACTGGACACAGCATATTCTGTTTATAACAAATTAACATGAATTAACAGTAGGCTAGAGTCTCCAAACAATATAATTGTTAACACCGGACGTGATTCCAGCCCTTGCAGTTCAACCTGCGGATTAACTCTTGATAACTTTACTACACACCTTTGGTCAGTGAGAACCATGATCTGTTCACACAAGAAATCTGATACTAGCCACATTTATAGCAGCAGTGTGAACAGCTATGCAAAATAAATCAGATCTGATAAAAAATAACATTTTATTTGTGTTCCAACGCTAAGTGAATGTCTCAGGGGATTGAAACAACATAAGAGCCAGTAATTAATAACAGATTGTTAGTTTTTTGGGTGAACTAATCCATTAAATTCCATTTAAATTCATTCAGAAAGAAATATATGAAGTAGACACAATTAATGTATATTTGCTGCTCTGCTGCCAAGCCATAACATGCAATACAAAAAGCTGAAAAATCTAAAGTGCTCTAGCTGAAAAAACACTAAAATAGATTTAACAAAAAACGAATTGAGTGCTGTTTTGAATATTGTTTTCTGTTTGTTTCATCATTTAGACACAATGAACTCTGAGGACACTCGTTCGGTGGATATGTCAATGCGAGATATTGAGGACAGAGGATTTTACACTGAAACATTTCACTCAGTTTCATGGATATACCATGGGGCTGAGGTCACCCAGAACGACAGTCCACACTGCCTCAGAAGCTGTGCTCGACCAGCAGCAAGTGAGTCCTTAGCAGACTAATATAAAAATAAGCTAGAACTGACTATTTATGATTTACAGTGTTTAAAGATGCATTTCTTTATACATTTCAGTTCGTGAGCGGACAGTAAAAATCTGCAAAGGTGTGGGCGAGTATCCCTGGGGCTTCAGAATTCAGTTCTCCAAACCCATAGTGGTTACTGAAGTGGATACAAGTAAGTCATTAATATTATATATCCAAACTCTAATGCACAAAAGCAAATATGTCTGTAAAAACGATTAGAAATTCACTGAGGGTTATATTTGATCTTCATTCTTGATTCTTTATACCAGTGGTTCTCAAACTTTTTTCACCAAGTACCACCTCAGGAAAAAATTGTCTCTCCAAGTACCACCATAATCACCAGTATTGAAATAAAGTAGCATAGTTGGCCAAATTAAGCAGCTACAGCACTGCACAGTTTGAAAAGGAGTCATATTCATTGAACGAAATTATACTCCATACAAAATATGACATTTTTCATAAATAAAACGGAAATAATTAATAATTTTTAGTTCAACCCGGTACCAATTGATCTATTGACTGGTGCCGGTCTGTGGCCCGAGGGTTTGAGAACACTGCTCTAGCAAGTATCTGCTTGCAAGAACCACGCACCTAGTTTTGCGCCAATTGAATTGATTTTTAGCAGCTGATGATGCGATGCACTAAAGTAAACATTTTATGCACATCGCTTTGATTGTAGGCTTGCAGCCAAAAGCTGATCTCATTGGTGTTATTGTATGCATCAAATTCATTACTCAGTGATTCCTCCGCGTACCACTAGAAGTAAGCCCACGTGCCACTAGTGGTACACGTACCACAGTTTGAGAACCACTGCTTTATAAAATTTTTATTAGTGCTGTCAATCGATCAAACAAAACAACTAATTAATCTGCCTTTTATGCAATTAATCGAGATTAATCGCAATTAAAAGACTGAAACTTGTAATTTTGGCGATTCAAATGTGAAATTAATGTTAACTCTAGACAAAAAAAATATTTAAATTCAAAATATGATTGTTTATCAGAATTTTTGTTCAACTAGTAACAAAAGCCATCAAGATTCTCAAACTGTTGGCTTGAAAGCCATATTTGTTACAGAAATAAAAACATAGGCATGTAAGTGCCATTTAAATTTCAAAACAATCAATGCCAATAACAAACAAATTGATTTCCATGTTGGATTCTAAGTGGACTGCAAAAAAAATCCAAAATACAGGCATTGCAAATATAGAAATTGAAAAATTATAATAATTAAATATTAAATATAAAAAAAAACAATTGAAGAGTTTGGTTGCAAAAAGCGATAAACGCCATTTTTTGACATTTGGATTTTATTATTGGAAAGGTTTAGATGTACCTTAATATATGTGTAAATTGCTGCCAATAACAACATTTAAGAATGTACATTTTACCTACTACAAAATGCATTTTTTCACAAAACACGATATCCGCCAGACCAGTTCCTTTACAAAGTGCGATATAACAGTTATAAAACGTTCATACCGATCTATTTTTATTCCTCTTTTTCTGTTAATTTTTCTCATTTGCTGTATATTTTATTGATTTAATAATGTTAATATATTACATACTTTATACAAATGTCAAGCCAATAAAGCAACTTAGAGAGAGAGAGAGAGAGAGACCTTTACCTGTCAGTGGGTGCACATGGCTCCTAAATAGCAAGTGCGAGAAATAGTGGATTTCATTCATTTCAACAGCCTTTTTTAAAATAACTTTAATCCATTGAAAAGAAAAGGTGTCATAATAAATAAAAATATAGATAAAAATCAAATTATTTTTTTATTTGTCGCATGTAGTTGACCATTTATGTGCTGTGGGTAAAACTTGTTTCAATCCGGCTACAACCGCAAGTGTATTTCAAACCTGTGGGAAGCCCTGCAGCTGATCCAACTAATCAAGGTGTTCAAGACTACTAGAGACTATTAAGCAGGTGTGAGGTGGTTGAAGCAAAAATCTCTATAGCTGTGGCCCTCCAGGAATTGAGTTTTAGACTGTTGGTCTATATGAAATTATGTTCATGTCATGAACTGTTTTATTCAAAACACTGAGATCACAAATATAGTAGGATACAGATGTTGGTGTGCTTTGCTTCAGATGGACCAGCAGAGGAAGCAGGGCTGCAGGTTGGAGATTTTGTGCAGGCGGTAAACGGCACGGATGTCACCAGTGTACCACACTCAGAAGCAGCTGATCTCGCACGCCAAGGTAGGTGGACGCTCTCAGACAGCTCTTAGTTTTCTCATAGACAAGGTTCATTTTTAACCCTAGTGGTATATCTAGACTCTCATGCACAGTCAAACATTTGCAAACATTAGCAAGGAGAGATGTTAGAAGTGTCTTAAGTGCAAGAATACTCCGTATTATTATTGTAACTCGGGGAGTGACACAAACAACAGAAGTTTGGTTTATTCGAAGTCAGGCAAGCAATGGTCAATATGGGTGCAAACAGGTGTTTAGAGGCAGTCGTAATCATAATCGTAGTCAAAGTATCAGGCTAGAGGTTGGAAGGCAGGCGGCAGACAGGGAGAACTGAATAAACAAGGCTTGGTCAAAACACGGGAAAACAAGACAAAGAAAACGCGTTGTAGTGCTACTTGACAGATAACAAGACTCGGCAACGTGAATGAGTGTGTGTGCTGCTTAAATAGTGTGTGTAATCAGTTTTTGACAATCCTCAGGTGGTGAGAGTGTAATCAGTCTAAACGAGAAAGCAGGTGTGTGTGTGTGTGTGGCATGACTGAATATGTAGTCCAGGGGTCACCAACATGGTGCCCACGGGCACCAGGTAGCCCGCGAGGATCAAATGTGTTGCCCGCAGGCCTGTTCTAAAAATAGCTCACCACAGCGCCACTTACCAGTAAGCTTCATCTAATATAGAAGTAATCATTTAAAAATGTAAATATTTGCAGAGAAATATAAAAATAAAGTGTTGCACATTGATACATTAAATACAGGGTATTTCCTACCCTGTTAAATCATTGTTGATAACTTTTGTGAGTATCATTAACATGATCAGTGTCTTCACATGGATGAATATCATTAATTATTACCAAAAACATAAAGTATAATTAAAAGTAAATTGAGCAAATTTGTTATTTGAGAAGTGTTTATCAAACTGGTAGCCCTCCACATTAATCGGTACCCAAGAAGTAGCTCTCAGTTTCATTAAGGTTGGTGACCCCTGATGTAGTCCATTTACAAGCAGATTTGTAGTTCCATGAGAGTGAATGTTTTCCAGCGAAATCTGGTGGTTAGAGGTCGCTGGTGATTGTGACAATTATATTTGGTGATTCTAAAAGTCAGAGACAGTCTGGAGATTTTGAACAGTCTACGCCAGGGGTGTCAAACTCAATTCCTGTAGGGCCGAAGCCCTGCACAGTTTAGTTCCAACCCTGCTCCAACACACTTGCCTGTAGGTTTCAAACAAGCCTGAAGGACTCAATTAGTTTGATCAGGTGTGTTTAATTAGGGTTGGAACTAAACTGTGCAGAGCTGTGGCCCATTTGGAACTGAGTTTGACACCTGTGCTCTACGCTCTAAAAAAATTATGGGTTGCCATAACTCAATGTTGGGTTAATTTTTAAAAATTCTATTTAAATGACACTTGTTAAGGTTGACCTTGTCCTTATTTGACTCAAAATTGGGCTACAACAGCCCAGCATTTTTAGAGTCTAGACAAAGTGTTTCACCCCTGTTGAAAAATCCAGATTAAACCAGCCTAGGCTGGTTGGCTGGTTTTAGCTGGTCGACCAGGCTGGTTTTAGAGGGGTTTTGGCCACTTCCAGGCTGGTTTCCAGCCATTTCCATCCTGGTCTTAGCTGGTCAGGCTGGGAGATGACCAGCTAAAACCAGCTTGACCAGCCTAGCCAAGCTGGGAGTCCAGCCAAAACCAGCTATGTCTAGCTTAAACCAGGCTGGTCAAGCTGGTTTTAGCTGGATTTGGCTGGTAATTTTCCAGCCTGACCAGCTAAGACCAGGCTGGAAATGGCTGGAAACTAGCCTGGAAATGGCCAAAACTCCTCTAAAACCAGCCTTGTCAACCAGCTAAAACCAGCCAACCAGCCTAAGCTGGTTTAAGCTGGATTTTTCAGCAGGGAAATTGAATCGTGTAGGTTTCAACTAGGGGTTTCTAGCTTCATGAACTCATTTTGTGATTTCTGGTTTGAATTATGAAGGCCCAGACCTTTTAACTCTCACCATCGGCTCGGATATTGGTCGAACGCCCAACACTCCACGTCCCGCGTGCAGGGGCTACTTACATAAGCGAACACAGTCGAGTTTCCTGAAGGGCTGGAGAAAGAGATGGTTCGTGCTCAGACATGACTGCTGCCTCTACTACTACAGAAACAAGCGCGTATGTTCAGCTTCTTCTTCTCCATGTTTTTGTCTTGTTGGAACATCTGAAATAGAATGACATACGAAATGAAGCTTTTGTTTTTCCTGCACAGGATGAAGGGAAGAGTCGGGCCTTGTCTGTGATGAGTCTGGAGGGGGCGCTGGTGGAGGCTGACAGCACTTTAGGAAAGCCCTTCGTCTTCAGATGCTGCCCTGTTTCTGGCAACAGAGCTTACTACTTGTGTGCTACATCAAACCAGGAGATGAAAAGGTGAGAACATGCCATGCTTTTTGAGATGAAGAGGTCAATTTGTATATTTGATAACAATTTACAATATGAGGGCACTTGGGAGTAAGGGTGTCACGATTTCGATTTTAAATCGAAATCGATCGAAATTTATACTTAATTTTGATTATCGATTTAAAAAATAGAATCGTCGATGCTGCCACACCCCCATGTCACGTCAGCTTGGCTTGCCAAGCGGGGAAAAAAAGACGCTTGTTGAAGAGCTTGTTAAACTGCAGACGCAAGAGACCCCTCGACAGAGCTTAAACCCTCTCCTCTTTCAATGAAGTCGCCGGTGTGTAAGCATTTGGGATTTCCAGTGAGTTATGTTGACAACGTTCGTGTTGTCGACCAAAAAAACACAGTTTGCAAGCTCTGCTATGTACGTATTACGGTTCGTCCAATAGAAATCACCGGCATCGCGCTCCTCCACTCCGTCCCCGTTGCAAATCCACTCGCGAAAAGTACACACTCAGGCCCTGTTTACACTAATATGTCTTTGTTTTTAAATTGCATTTTAGAACAACAACGTTTTGACATCCACAGTGGCGTGTAGCATTTCTGAGCAGCCCTCCTTCCTCACTACTGCTGAAAACGCACATCACGTGACCACACACACTCAGACACAAACGCACACACACACAGCCATGCGCTCGAGACAGCAGGTCCAGGCAGGGGATCAGTAGACTGCTTCAATCTTTCACTCACTTGTACTTAGTCATTTTAGCGAACACCTCAGATACTGTTGGCTGGTTCCTGTTGGTTCTGCGCCTTTTTTACCGGCGCCATTATAACGACTCAGATCACTGCCTATTCACGAGTCCCGCAGAAAAAGTGATTGACAGGTGGTCATTATGTGTGTAACTTGCCTTTATTCATTTACTGTATGATTTGTTTATGGGTAAAACAAAGACCATGCAGGTCAGGTAGTTTAAACGGTAGGCTACAAATAATTAATTTGTTATTAATGAATTAATTATTCATAATCGAAAATCGAATCGAACCGTGACTTTAGAATCGAAAATGTAATCGAATCGAGGATTTGGAGGATCGTGACACCCTTACTTGGGAGTTTGTGGGTCAGTCGATAACAAGCTGATATATTATTATGTATATCATATTATATATAATATGTATTAGGGTTGCACTGTTTACTGGTACTATGGCAGTTCCATGATACAAAATGGCGGTGCCACTGTAGTTTGTAAACGGTAGTATCGTTATTAACGGTTTATCTACAATGTAATAATGTTACATATGAAAAAGTCAAAATGCTCACCCATTTGTGCAACAATTGACCCTTTTATGTGAATAGACTGTGGAGCCCTTTAAGGTTGCAAACTTTGTAGAATTCACATATTTTATGGTGATGCTTCAGATCAAATCTGAATCAGTTCATTTCTGCTCCTGTCAATACGATTTAGTAGCTACAACAACTGCGACAATCAAGTTAAAATTTAAATTACTTACCTGATAAGACAGGTAAGTAAAAAAGTAAAAAAATAGATTCTGGAAACACTAAAACTAAATTTTTGACCACTTCATGAAGCCTAATTTGGTTAGAAAAATGCTGATTTGATTATTAATGCAAATTTCATTTGGTAAAATGGTAACACTTTACAATAAGGTTCATTAGTTAATGCACTTACTAACATGAACTAATCGTGAACAACACATGTACAGCATTTATTAATCATAACTGAACATTTACTAATGCATTTTACTAATGCAACATCCAAGGCCGTGCTTGTTAACATTACTTAATGCACCGTGAGTTAACATGAACTAACAATAAACAACTGTATTTTCATTAACTAACGTTTACTGACATGAATAAATACTGTAGTAAATGTATTGTACATTGTTTGTTCATGTTAGTAAATGCATTAATTAACATTAACTAATGAACCTTATTATAAAGTGTGACCGGTAAAATTTGTGTCTTTATTTTAATGTATTTTTGTTGGTCAGTTATCTACAAAATAAACAAAAAGAATGAATACATTTTAGGTGATGTGACATGCAAATACGTTTTTCAAAAATAAGGGAATCATTCATTCAATTCAAGTAGGCCTTTTATAACATAAAATATAGTATTTCTGACAATTTTCTTTATTTCATGGATTTGAGTTGTTAATTACAGTATATAGTATACTGTAGGTATAGTATTGTAACATGAATTAATGGTATGGTGACAACCCTAATATGTATATTATTATGTGTAAGAAGAACGTTAAGACAACCAGAAATTTACACAGCTCAATTTAAGAGAAATTGCACAAATAAAAAAAACATTCCACAGTAGCGTGTTTGAGATTGTCAAAAATGTACATGGCGGCCTCAAGTAGATATGTGAAAGTAAAAACCCAGGGTACATATTTTTTGGTTCTCAAAAATGCAGCCCTGGGTACATATATTCAGTCAGCCTTGGATGAATAAATTATTGTATTTGTCATAAAGAACTAAATGAATTTAATATACTGAAGCACTTTTGTTGTATGGCAATGTATCAAATATAAATAAATGTGCTATAATGTGTAATACTTACTGCTGTATGACTCTACAGCTGTCATGATCACCAGCGATGCAGCCTGTGCTGGAAATTAAACTAAAAACTGCTTTTATTCTAGCCGAAATAAAACAAATAAGATGTTTACCAGAAGAAAAAATATAATCAGACATACTGTGAAAATTTCCTTGCTCTGTTAAACATACATTCATTCATTCATTTTCTTGTCAGCTTAGTCTCTTTATTAATCCGGGGTCGCCACAGCGGAATGAACTGCCAACTTTACAAGAACGTCACTGGTTCTAGTCCTTATCAAGCCAGCCAACCTTTTTGTGCGGAGTTTACACATTCTCCCCATGCTCACATGGGTTTCCACCGGCTTCCCCGGTTTCCCCTCACCGTCTATAAGAACATGCAACTTAAGTTAATTGAAATTAACTTAAGTTGCATGTTCTGCATGAAAGTTAATCCAAATTAGACATAGACATGCTCCTAGTAAGTAGTTATTGCTTAAGAACAATCACTATCTGTTCATTAGCTACTACAGCAGGGGAGTTCTCGAGATCTACCTGAGCTCAAACTCCCCTCTCGCCTTGCAAATGGGAGGGAACCACGGGCTTGAGGATCATATGAGCTCAGGGCTTCCTTCCGGGAAAGCATGCCAAACAAGCTGTATAATCAATCATCAGCTAAGTTTGAACTCTTGAAATAAACATTAGAAATTTTGATTTCATGCAGAAAAACTTTTTGGGAAATAATATTAATAATATATTTTATTTGTTTTCCCTTTTTTTCCCCTCAGGTGGCTGGAGGCTATGGGTAGAGCTGTTCATCCCATCACTCAGGTAATTTCCTGATCTTTCTTTAATTTCTTATATGACAGCTCTGTGTGAATGCACAGGATCAGTGAATTAATCAGAATACATTTGGCCAACTGAGACAGAGGTTGTTTACAGTCTTCCAACTGGTTTTAACACATGCTTTCAATAATCCAATCTCAAGTGGTCAATCACAAAACATCCTCATTTCTAACTATTTAAATGCATCTTTTTTTGACCACTCCTGTTTGTATGGTATTTCATCAAGACCCCTCTCTCCTATTCTCTCAAATTTTACATATCTTTCATGAGAGTGCTAATAGTGCACTATACTTGACATACAATTGAAGTCAGAATTATTAGCCCCCTTTTAATTTTTTCCTCTTTTAAATATTTCTCAAATAACATGCAACAGAGCAAGGGCATTTTCAATGTGTCTGATAATATTTTTTCTTCTGGAGAAAGTCTTATTTGTTTTATTCCGGCTAAAATAAAAGCAGTTTTAAATTTTTTTTAAAAACATTTTCGGGACAAAATTATTAGCCCCTTTAAGCTATATTTTTTTCTGATAGTTCAGAACAAACCATCGTTATACAATAACTTGCCTAATTACCCTAACCTGCCTAGCTAACCTAATTAACCTATTTAAGCCTTTAAATGTCACTTTAAGCTTTATAGAAGTATCTTCTAGTATACAAATATCTAGTAAAATATTATTTATTATCATCAAGGCAAATATAATATAAATCAGTTATTAGAGATGAGAGATGAGTAAACTATGTTTAGAAATGTGCTGAAAAAAATCTTCTCTCCATTAAACAGAAATTGGGGAAAAAAATAAACAGGGGGGCTAATAATTCAGAGGGGCAAATAATTCTGACTTCAACTGTATGTGAAATTCTCTAAATTAACATGAACATGCAAAATATGGTCGCTGCAAAAATTGGCCGGATAAAACGATGAATACAAGCAATTGCTCTAATGAAACGAGCTATAGCTCTATATTTACATTTCTGTACTGAGAGGTTTTGATTCTCTATTTTTCTCACGCATTCACATTTTATGAACTTGTAGATCCAGCGTGAACTTTGAAAGGCAACAAAATGCAAAACTTGACATTTGAGCTTGTGTTTCCAGTGTGGCGCATTGATTCAAATGCGCTAGTATGGAACTGAACGTGTTTTTTGCATTGAGAGGCGCCTTCATTGATTGGCTTTCTAATTTTGCGCGCTGCTTATACACCCTGCACGCATTTTAACTGTCTGCTGTGCCTCATGTTTTTGCCATTACACTACTGTATGTCCACCTGCAGCTGAAAAAGTCAACTCTGAGCGAAAAAAATCGTGCTATGTCAGTCAAGTCTTTTATCATTTTCCAATCAAATGAACACGGAGGCGATGTTTCTGCTGAGAAGACAGCAGTGTTTGTGTTGTCAGGACAACTACGAAGACTTTTAAAGATGGAGGAGAGACTAGTGGTCGATGTTTTGAGTTATCTGGAGCTGTACGACTTCACAAATCATGAATATCACAGTATTAATAAATACAACAAATATAACAACATCGACAGCAGCACCCTCGAAAAATAACACAACTTCAGTGGTTGCCTGGCAACATAAAAAGCACAGCACACTTCTCTTTTTTCTTGTTAACAAAAAGGCAGTTCAGTACGTGTGTTTTGTGTTCTCAGAATGTAAAAGTGCATTCAGTGTGTTCGGCCACTTAGTGGGGCAAAAAGTGCAGTGTAACCGCGCCTTTATTCTGTTGAATGCTTGATTCAGATTGGCTGATGAAAATTCTATAAGGCGTGCCTTTATTTGCAGATAAAGTAGTTCCAGGAAGATATTGATCGCATTACAGTTCCATTATATCACTGAGTGATTTCAGGTATTTCTCTGCCTACAACTGTAAAAACATCAAATCAAACCCAAACAAAAAACTTTGGATGAGATGTGTAAGAACTTCAAGGTTTGAGGAGCAAAACCTGACATCTGAACTTTGCCTTTAGGTGTGGTAACAATAGCATAAGCAGAATAATCCACTTGTTAAGTATGACGTCATGCGAAGCGGCTTCCGGGTCCAAGCGCTCTATTTAACTGAATGGGGAGACTCATGAAATGGTAACAATAAACGTTTACGAAGCGATGTAATACTTTCAAAAATCACGATCGCAATATATATATATATCCATGCCTAATATCCAATGGCCAGAAAGTGATTCATTTTTTATAAATTGTTAAAATTTTGGTATTTGTTACGCAGCAAGCCCAGAGATTGTTGTGTAAACTTTATATATAAATAACTTTAATGTGTGATATGAATAAAAAGTGATCATAAACAAACAATTTCTCAACTCAAATGAGGGGCAGCTTGGACCCGGAAAGAGTATTACATACGTCACCAACACGTCATCACTTAACAAGCGGATTCACTCCAGTGCATTGAATTTTTAGAAAATAAGGCACACTCAAGGTTTGTGCATTATTTTATATTTATTCAATGGCCCGTTGTCAATTATCCCTTATATGACTACTAGTGCTCTGCAATTAAGAGGTTTTAGGAAAGATGAAATCGCTTGATTGGATTGATGTATGAAATCTCTTGATTGGATTAGTGAAAGCACAATGTAATATCAAGTGTAAACAGGGTCATGGTAATACTCATCGTGTTAATGTTGGTGCTTGTCATGGCAGAATCACGTGTGGGTGGACGTCACTCGGCACAACTCAAATCTGCCCCCGCTGGCGGTCAAGAACCCAGAATGCCTTGGTTTGCTCCATCAGCTGGACAGAAGCAAAGACTCATGGGTGCAGTACTACTGCGTGCTGAAAGACGGATGCCTCTATTTCTACGTCAGTATTCGTTCAACATCCGCCATAGGTATGTTAAAGAAATGTTCATGTTTCTGATAATGTTCATGTTTCTGAAAATCTGATACATGTTACAAAATTATTCTTAATATATTTAAACTAACACAATATCACGGCAACTCGTAACTTTTTGATTTAGTGGCTAATTCGTATGAATTCGTATGACCTTATTCGTACAATTAAGTACGACTTGCTCATCCCCCAATGACGGTTGGGTTTAGGGGTGGGGTTAGGTGCCACGCTTCCTTTTTAAAATCGTACAATTTCATACGACTGAACTCGTACAAATTCGTACGAATTAGCCTCTAAACTGGCAAAACGTAAAATATTTACGTTTTCTCGTGAGATCAGGCTGATTTAAACACATTTATAAACTTTATAAACATAAATGTTTTAATAACGAATGTATTTTGTCTTTGTCATTATGTTGCCATGATGACAGTACATATTATTTTGCTAGTTATTTAACAAGATACTTTTATTTCGAAGACCTATTTAGGGTGGCTATTATGCAAAAATCACTATAATATTATTGTAATTAATTTAAAAACTGAATAAATATAGATTTACACACATTTACTCAAGTTAACAAACAGAATTAATGATGGGCTAACAATCTGCGGAATATCTGCGGAATTCTAAGATTCTGTGTGGCCTTAGTCATTAGACAACAGCATTTTGTTTGTAGCCAATAACAAAAGCATGCTTAAGGGAGCTAATATTGATCTTAGCATATTTTACATTAAAAAAAAAACATTTATTCAAGCCAAACTGAAAGAAATAAGACGTTCTACAGAATAAAAATATAGTTCAAAGTTATTTGCAAATATTTCAAAAAGGGCTAAAACTTTGTGCTTTGATAATTAACAACAGTTTTTTGTGTTGTTATTGCAGGAGGAATCTATCTACATGGATACACAGTGAAAGATCAGCCGCTGGGGTCCAGAAGATCCACCATTGAGCTCAGGCCTCCGTCTGATGAGTTTAAAGTCTTCTACCTCTGTGCCGAAAATGGAAACGAGAACAAACGGTAATGAACTTTTACTATTTTCTGAATTATCTTCATTGTGATGCCAGTGTTTATAGAAAAGGAGGATATTTTAAAGATCATAAGCATTCAAATTTATACTATAACATTTTAGACAAATAGGGTTGTTAAAAAGATGAAATTATTTTGTTAAATCAACACTCCACACAAATAAATATCAACCAAACAGTTCCAGGTTCTATGCTATTTATTGTGGACTAAATATGTCTGTTAATAAAAGTGTTCATGATTCACACTCATTAAATAATTACTTTATATAGCTTTATTTTACATTCTTAGGAGATATAAAATATTTTTACTACATAAAGAAATTATAAAGTTATTATTGAATGAGTGCGAATCATGACCTTCTGCTTGATATCGTTAACAAGATTAACGAACCAAAATGTTAAAAACCACTAGTGTGCAGTGCACACTTTATTACTGAACTTATTAACAAAAGTACACACAAAATATATATTTGAATTGTTTTGTCATAGCATTCATTCATTTTTTTATGAACCAAACTAAATGAAATATCCAACATTTACTATACGAGTTAACTGTTTGTTAGTTCTAAGTTTGGTGAACTGAACAATTTAAGTATAGTCTAAGCCAGGGGTGGCCAATCATGTTCCTGGAGAGCCACCTTCCTGCAGATTTCAGTTGCAACCCATATCAAACACACCTGCCTGTAAATATCACGTGGTGTTCGGGCCCTAATTAATTGGTTCAGGTGTGTTTGATATGGGTAGCAACTGAAATCTGCAGGAAGGTGGCTCTCCAGGAACAGGATTGGCCACCCCTGGTCTAAGCACTAAGCACTGGTGGGAGGCATGCGTTGCGGCCGAGTGCCTTAGCATCCCACCAGTGCTGATATACAGCCATATCGCACTGCTACGAGTGTGATATTGTGTTTATACAACAGTTCAACGGCACAATCGTGTATATAAATAAGACAATCAAACACGGAGAGTCTAAAAACCCCTTTTTATTAGGAACTACTTTCTTCCGCCATTCATTCACATCTGCAGCTGACATCAAAACAGCAGAAGCCGTTACTAATTCACCAAGGTCACTTTAGAGCTAGGGTTTGAATGACTCTATCTACAGTGATGACAAAACTGCTGACTTTTGCTCACACTTTAAGATTCTAATGCTGAACGTGACATGAAATGCCATCCATCTACAGAGATATCTTCTTACATTGTTACAGTCTACAGTATTTCTCTGTTGCAATCGGGATTTCACAATAATTAACCCGAAAATAACAACGAATTCACTACCAGACTGCTGTTGTGTTTGCGATTAAGGAAAAAACGCTAAACACATGCAGACTTTGCTTATTTCAATCTGCCAACACAACACACATTCCTGATATGAAAGCAAATCGATATAAATACAGCACTACAACATACAAAAGAGAGAGATCGACTTATAATATCATTTGTCTCTGAAAATCAGCCAACATGTCTCAATCCGGGAGACTGGGGGGGAGGGGTGTTCATGGGTGAGGTTGAGAACCGGGATAGTATGCTGCAGGTTTTGGGCGGGTACTGAACCAAAGTTGGCATCCCGGGGGTGTTTAGTTTACAGACTGTACCAAAGAGGGGAGTGGGTGAATTTAGTTTTTTTAGGAAGAAATAAAAACGGGATGGTTGCGGGAGACTGGTCTGAAATACGGGATACTCCCATGAAAAATGGGAGTGTTGGCAGGTGTGCTTAACCACTTATTATGTGGTTCTGTCGCCATCTAGTGGATAGAAATCGTCAACCGTCGCCGACGAGTTCTCTCAGATATTGTAAACATTTTAAAATAGGCACTATTCTTACAAATAAACTGCATAGTTGCAATCTAAACAACTACATTCTCGACTACTTCGAATCAGTGACCAGTTTTTTTATGCATATATATATATATATATATATATATATATATATATTATTTTTTATTATTTTTTTTTTCTCAGATGGAAAATATGTTGAATTAAAGAATAATGTATCCAAAATAAAGTTAAGAAACCCCTAATATCTTTGAAACTTCTCTGAAAACAAACAAAAAAAGTCTTAGTTGTTGGATGATGGTCTTTTCCTTAAGTTAAGCATAAAATAATAAAATAAAAAAAAACTGGTCACTGATTCGGAGTAAAAAAACATTAAGTGTGTTAAAAAATGTTGATCTACTCTTGTGTTGCCTTAATGTCTTCATAACTTCATCATGAAGGTATCCAAAGCGTCAAATCTTGATCAGACAGCATACCAATACATTTTCCAAACATTCAGTTATCTGGACAATAAGGAAGTCCTTAGGCTGAGCTTAAAATCTTAAAACGCAAGGTTTTCCAACGAGGACTTCATCTTGTTTAATCCCGCCCCTTTTCGTAGCACCGTACCACAGAATTTCGCAAGCTCAAACTCTAGTGTGACCGCAGCTTCATTCTGATGCTTGATTTTTTTAAACATCCATGAATCTACTGAGCTGCTCCCTGCTGAAAAATCCAGCTTAAACCAGCCTAGGCTGGTTGGCTGGTTTTAGCTGGTTGACCAGCCTGGTTTTAGAGGGTTTTTGGCCATTTCCGGGCTGGTTTCCAGCCATTTCCAGCCTGGTCTTAGCTGGTCAGGCTGGAAAATTACCAGCCAAATCCAGCTACAAGCGACTCCCAGCTTGGCTAGGCTGGTCAAGCTGGTTTTAGCTGGTCATTTTCCAGCCTGACCAGCTAAGACCAGGCTGGAAATAGCTGGAAACCAGCCTGGAAGTGGCCAAAACCCCTCTAAAACCAGCCTGGTCGACCAGCTTAAACCAGCCAACCAGCCTAGGCTGGTTTAAGCTGGATTTTTCAGCAGGGCTGCCATGTGATTGGCTGATCTGATATTTGTATTAAAGAGCAGTTAAACAGGTATAGCTAATGAAGTGTGAAGTTGACATCTCCAACAGCCAGACAGTGAAATATTAAGATTATTCTGATGAATTAACACCATTCTTCTCTCTACGATTTCTCTAGATGGATCAGTGCTATTAAATCCTCTATAACAAAATGGCTGCCACTGCATCAAGCAATTCAAGACTACATGAGTCGGCCAGCCGAGGAAACGAGAATGTGAACAAGACTGACCTCGATTCTGCCAGCGTTGATGACATGATGGTGAAGATCCTATGCCTTACAGACAAATCATACTACTGCGTTTCAAATCAGCTGGACACTTTACTACCCAATTCAATGCAATACCCAATACAATTTTACAGTTTGACAAGTTGGTGGATTTAATCAATCCATATTAGGCAAAAAAGCCGCCCTAAACATAACTAATATTAAACAGCACAGATCAAAGAAAGTGTAGGAGTCAGTGGTGTGTGAGCTAAATGGGTTAAAACGTGCAAATGACTGCAGAAATTACCCAAAATTTGAAAGAGTTGAGATAAGAATTGCTAGATTGTGTTGAGTCTTTAAGGTTTTGATAGACTTCATGGTTTTGATAAACTAGTTGTTGATTAGATCATGGAACTGACTCTGAATTTGAGTAATTACACTCCATAAATGGTTAGTTGGCTTGTTGTCACAGGAGATGCTGCATGTAGGATTGACACATAGTGGTTGAATTAGGAATTTCAGTCCAAATTCAAAATGTTGAAGAGGTTTTTTTTTACCTGGCCCCCAACAATGATTTAGACAAACACAGGTTGCCAGATTGATGACACAAACAGGAATGAGCTTGTCTGGTGATCAAGCCCCGCAATGCAAGTTGATCAGACAATATTTACATTTGTAATAATTTAATTGTTTGCGTTATTGCATTTCTTTTCAGAGGCTCATACATTGAGTTTTCATGACTGAAATTAAATACACTGGCTGCGTTCAGAATCGCCTACTACTCAGCAGGTACTACATTTGAATTTAAACGCAGTACTTGGCCGTTTGAATGTGAGAAGTATGAATGGAATACTGACGTACTACATCCTCCATTTTGTTATGGTCATGTGACCTACTTTACCAGCATCAGTTGCGTCGCTTACTTCCTATTCATCAATTCTCTCGCAGGGCATCATGGGATAGCGCAGAGTGATTGGGATGCGCACTTCAGAATCTCGTGGGAAGTAGTAGATCATCTGGGTGTTTCTCGCATACTGATTTTCAAATTCTATGAATTCTGATATACTATTCGGCTCGAATACCGATTTTAGCGTACTATATAGTATGGAAGTATGCTGTTTTAGATGCAGCCACTGTGTTTTCCACCAAGGCAACCCAATGTGCCAAAAATGATTGGATAACCTTATAGTGGGCGAAGTTACATAGACCATAGACCACATTGTTTTACATAGACCAAAACAGACAGACAATCCCACATGGGACTCAAAATAAAAATGAGAATAATTGACTTTAACATTGTTTTTTGGACAAACAAGCATGTGAAAACGAGCTGCAAAGATATTATGGCATATTTATACTTTAGAAGAGTCAAAAACTTACATACAGCACCTTAAACCACTCCAAAGAACAACTAAAGAAGCAGCACCGATGCTACATGCAGTAGCACTTAAATTGGTTCCCCTATGAATGCAAGCCAAGGAACCATTTAGCAGTGCTAAACAGTCCCTCAAATACCCCAAAGAATTGACTTGACACAAATTTGCATATACAAAGTCACTTTGCATTAACAAAAATCTAAATATAATTAAAATAATTGTAAAAAAAAAAAAAATTGCAGTCAAGCATGTTGAAGGTTAAAGTAGTAGTAGCAGCAGAAACAATACACCATTCATCGACCATAGGCAACATTTACGCCTAATTTTTTGTTATCTGACCAAAACCAATAACATTATACCGCATTTGTTAGCATTTATAGCATTTAGCATTTATTGGCCAATATTAATATGGCTGCCAATATCATGCATTACTATGCATTGCATCCTCACAACTAAATTTGAAAACTGTTTAGTGTTTTCTGCTGGTTAGCGAAGCCCTAGAGAACCATCTAAACTGTTAAATAACACACTGGTGGTTAAAATAATAGCAGATTGCTCTCAGTTTATTAAAACTCTAAAATTCCAGCTAAATTAGTTTCCCTATTGTTAATAAATCAGCTAGTAAAAGACTTTAACGTTTTGTTATACTAGGCTAGCATGTGTGGAAATGCTAATGTGTGTTTCAGCTAAGTTTGTTCCCCACCAACAAATACAAATATCTGAGCAGTCAAAGACTTAAAAATGCACTTAAATTCTCTGCAAACGTTCATGATGAATCTAAAATAACTCCGAAAAAATCTTCAAGTGCTTTTATGACAGCAAAGCAGCAGTGAGAACTTGAAGTTGTCACAGCAAGCAGAAACACTGCATGCTACGCTGTGATAGGCACCATTTATGCCTAATTTTGTTATAAGACCAAAAACAATTACATTATACAGCATTTATTAGCTTTTATAGCATTTAGGATTTATTGACCAATATTAACATGGCTGCCAATATCACAACTAATCTGTTAAATAACACACTGGTGTTTAAAATAATAGCAGATTGCTCTCAGTTTACACAAACTCTAAAACTCCAGTAAAATTTTCAGAACATTTTTGAATTAGTTTCCCTATCTAGTGTTGATAAATCAGCTAGTAAAAGACTTTAAAGTTTTGTTATGCTAGGCTAGCATGTGTGGAAATGCTAATGTGTGTTTCAGTTTGTTCCACCAACAAATACAAATATCTGAGCAGTCAAACACTAAAAAATGCACTAAAATTCTCTGCAAACATTCATGATGAATCTTAAAATAGCTCCAGAAAAAGTCTTCAAGTGCTTTTATGACAGCAGAGCAGCAGCGAGAACATGCAGTTGTCACAGCAACCAGAAACACTGCATGCTGTGCTGTGACGGCAACTAGAGGCTTAGGAACATATAAGTAGAAACATAAAGACGTACAAGGCTTCAGACTAGCTTTACTTATTCATTTGACACAAGCAAGTGAAACTGACTGACATTTTTTTGTTTCTATCCCAAGTTTGCATGATTTCCTAGTGTTATTTTGAGATCACTTGATTCTTTACATTCTGCTAACCTTTTTGTTTCATACTTTGCATTTTTATGACATGTTTTTCATTTTCTGGATTTATAAACTTGTACATAATACACATTCTTTTTTAAACGGTTTTGCTGTATAGCTAGGAGCAATGCGTTTTCTACACTTGTGTTTATTTACTTGATCTATAGACCATTTCAAAGTGGTGATGTCACATTTCCTGCTTCTCATGAACTATTTCATAACTGTAACAAGAGGGGATTCAATCATATCTTGACATCAAAACAGCTCTCATCACAATATTTATTAAAATGTGGACCTTTTGGGCTTCTCAGAAGCTATGGAAAATAAAAATGTAAAACAGGAAATACATTAGGACCATTGTTATTGTTTACATCCTTCAAAATGCTCTATAATTATAAGACAAGATATTGAATAGCAAACTACAATACACTACTATGGAAGGTGATCAGGGTCAAAAGTCTTTTAATGACTAGAAGCATTAGAAAACCATCTAATCTATTAAAGTACAGGTACTCATAATTAAAACGACTCAGGTAAAAGTTGAAGTACTGATTACACTTTTGCACTCAAGTAAAAGTAAAAAATGTACTTAAGTAAAAAGTATCCATTACTACTGCATGTTTGGTTACTGTAGGTAGGTCAATATCCGGTTACCCCCACAGTCCAAAAACATGCAGTATGGGTGAATAGATAAACTGAATTGGTGTATGAGAGGTTGTTTTCTAGGACTGGGTTGTGGCTGGAAGGGCATCCCTTGCACAAAGCATAAGCTGGAATCATGGGTGGTTCATTACGCTGTGGCGTCCCCTGATAAATCAGGGACTAAGCTGAAATATAGTGAGTGAGAATAGGTAGATAACTAGACCTTACATCCTATTTTAAAGTAGCCAAGCAGCATCACCCCCTGTAATAAAGCTCACAACGTTGTTTAAAAAGTCGACCCATGTATCATCATCCTGACGCACACTCACAGCGTTCATCGTGTAGTTTTATGGGCCTGTTAGATAAAAAAAAAAAAACAGCTGCCATTCTAAAAATAATTCTGTAGGCCTGTCTATCTTAATAAATAATGTCATAATAAATCGTTTAATCTGGAGGTGGCACAGTGGGTAGCACATTTGCCTCACTGCAAGAAGGTTGCTGGTTCGAGCCTCGGCTGGGTCAGTTGGTGTTACTGTGTGGAGTTTGCATGTTCTCCTTGTGTTCACATGGGTTTCCTCTGGGTGCTTCCCGACGCGGTATAGGTGAATTGGATAAGCTAAATCAACCACCCCCCCCCCCCCCCCCCCTCCAGGTCTTTACATATTAAGCGGTTATGATCTTCCCAACAGATGCCATCCTGTAAACCAACGTCCCCAACCAACTTTAGAACCGCCTATGATAGACTCCAGATTTACGGGCATATCTTTTGGCCTGGAATCAGTCACCTACATCGGGTAACACTGGTTTTCAAGAAAGCAAGATGCAGGAAAAGTTTTGTTACTAGTTAAAAATATACAAATAGAGTCATGTAAATGTACCCATAGTCTCAAATGAAGCAATTTGATTGGGTGTTGTTCTTGTTTACAGACTGACATGATCCAATGCCACTCATTTAATTCAAGACTTCTGACTTCAATGGCCTTCCATACAGAACTGTCCAGTCCTAGTGTCATCTCACACTCTTTAGATAGCGGTAAAATATCTTAAACAGACTTTCTGATTGTATTTGTAAATAAGAATACATGACTTTTTCTATTAATGTTTTAAATTAGTAATATGTGATAATTTTTACGTTATGTTATTACAAACTAGGGGAAATTTACACTTGGTTACACTGGGTCCTATGTACATGTGATGCAACTGAACTAAACACGACACGACAGAAACATTTGAATATCGGTCACTGCATTCCGGACAAAATGGCTATAGAATAAATACATTTAACATTATTTAAAGTAGATAGGATGAGTGACCGGTGTTTTTGGCTTGCACAGAGTCACATTTCTGTCTTTTATTTTTAAACCATCTTATTTTCATTATCTGAGGTGAAACCTCAGCTGCTGTTTTCTGTAGTATGGCAAAACAAAGTCATGTAAAATGGCATTCAAACTCACATTGGTACATTGAACACTGAATAAATCACATAATCTGTACCTGAGGAGATCATTGTCATAATAGTTTATGCTTCTTTTTTGATGTTGTTGTGACGTCATAAAAAAGAAGCTGTCGCTGTCTCAGATGGTTAGGACAGAAACACGTTTTAATACGAAAAAGAAACATTTTATCAAGTGTCGCCGTGCCGCGTTGTGTGCAGTTAGGACTTGGTGTTAGATGAAGGTAATCAGAGGATCCCAAATATGAGTACCAGATTCATCAAACTGAAATGATCTTTAGACCCTGAATTACTAAATCACTTTCAGATCAGTACAACAACACATGACGTGTGCAGTTGTGAATATTCCCTAATGTTTACTTCAGGGTTTGATGTATATTGAAGTGCTTGTATTGTATGTAAATAGCCTGTGCAACTACAGTATAAGTAAGCTTGCCAAAATACAGACCTGCATGATGTTCTACCTCACAGAAGTTGTTCTTGTAAAAAGAGTTCCACGATTAAAGAGTTATCAGCAATATTTGACTTGTTTCATTTTTTCAAGCAAAATCAAATATATGAATTGTCGATTAATAATCAGGTGTCTGTAACCGCCGGGGATGACACACACAACTGGAGGTAAGATCCAATATGCAGGTTTATTCAACGTCAAGCAACCAATGGTCAAATCAGGTGTGAACAGGTATATGTGGGCAGTCCAGAATCGTAGTCAGTAAACAGGAAGAAGGTCAGAAGGCAGGCGGCTAAACAGGATAACAAGGGTATACAAGACTAGGGTCTAAACACGGAGAAAACAAGACAAGGTGAAACGCGTTGTAATGTCACTAGAAGCGAACAAGACTCGGCAAACTGGATGAGTGAATGAGTGGCTTATGATTAGTGGAAACCAGCGTTCTCCGGAGAGTGATCGCTGGTTATCGTAACAGTGACAGTGGTTCATATAAAAAAGCATATGTCATTTGGTGTAACAATGTTTTGCTAACTCATTACATTTTTTTCAAGCATATTTAGAGCAATCAGTTGTTGGATTCTATTATTATATAATTTATTATTACTTCTCCAGGAACCGCCACCTTATTGTGGTCGAGGGGTTTGAGTGTCTGAGTGATCCAAGGAGCTATGTTGTTGGTGGCTAAATGTCCCTGGTAGGGTCTCCAAAGGCTAAAAGGTCCTAGGTGGCAGGTCAGACTAAAGACCAATCCTAATTCTACCCCTTAGCCCTTCCCCTTACCCCTACCCCTCGTTTCGCTTGTTCCTGTGAAGGGATAGGGGTGTGCCAATTCTCTTTAGCTTGAAGACGTAGGGCTAAGGGGAAGCAGTAGATACCCCTTTACATGGAGATTTTTCAGGGTCATACTTGAAACCAAGGGGTAAGAAAATTTCCCAGAATACACCTGCCACAGCAGCAGAATAGCTGCACCCGGAAGTAAGGAGACTACAAATTTGTTTTTTTTTTGTCATTATTACTATTTTTTACAAGGGGTGCAAAAATAGAATTAAGATTGGGCCTAAGTGTGGTTCAAAAACCCCTTTTGGGTCTAATGAAATCAAAGACCATAGCATAGCCTGGTATGGCACAGCCAGAGCCTCACCCTGGAGCCAGGCCTGGGGGCCTGAGCAAGAGACAACAATACCTTCATAGACAAAAGAGCAGGTAAACGTTGAATCATTATTTTCTCCTTATAGTATTCTTATGACTTATTTGTCATGTGATCAACCTTTTGGGCTAGTTGTAGATGTGTTTGGAAGCAATTCGTAACATTTTAATAATATTTTGACAAATTGAATTAAATTAACTAAATGACTCGAAAAAAGATTTGTTCATCTCGATGAACGAGACTCAAAGATCCGAGTAAGTAAAATGATTCGATCTTCCCATCACTAATGACAACAGTTGTTCGCTCCCCTCCTCCTACCCTGCTCTGCTGGCCACGCCCACTCCTGCCTCTGATTGCGGAGCTCCACACCCATTATGATGCATTTTTTTTAAAATAGTGGTCATGGCGCTTTAATAATAATTCATTCATTTTCTTGTCTGCTTAGTCCCTTTATTAATCTGGGGTACCCACAGCAGAACGAACCGCCAACTTATCCAGCACATTTTTACGCGGCGGATGCCCTTCCAGCAGCAACCCATCTCTAGGAAACTTCCACACCCACATTCACACACACACTCATACACTACGGACAATTTAGCTTACCCAATTCACCTGTATCGCATGTCTTTGGACTGTGGGGGAAACCGGAGCACCCAGAGGAAACCCACGCGAACGCAGAGAGAACATGCAAACTCCACACAGAAACGCCAACTGAGCTGAGGATCGAACCAGCGACCCAGTGACCTTCTTGCTGTGAGGCAACAGCCCTACCTACTGCGCCCCTGCATTGCCCAATAATAATTAATATTATTAATAATATTATAATTTTTCATTTATATGGCTTACAGTCATTTTTTTTACTAAAATGCGAAAGAAATCAACTTCCATGTGTTGGATTATATATATGCAGTAATATGAGCGTACATATTAAACAATGCATGTACAGTTTGTCTATCCTATATAGTTTTTCAGTGGCCGAGCAATGTAAAATGTCAACAAATTCACAAGATCAGAAGTTGAAGTTTTTGTGTAAAATGTATTTTCTTATAAATCTGACATCTCAAAAGTACATCAAAAAACAGTGTATCAAATATAAATCAAATTAAAAAGCACATAGAAAAACTTTCAGCACTCTTCAAAAGTACAAAATACATTGCAACATAATCAAAAGACAAGTAAAACATTAAAAAAAAACAAATCGATCCTTAAATACAAATGAATGAAGGCATTGCATGTAGTCTTTCATAAAAAACACTGCAAATGCAGCAGCAAATTTTGCTCGTTTTGTAAGATCAATATTAAGATGAATAAAATTAAAAAGTTAAAATGTTTGCTAGTAATGTATCCTTAAACCGAGTCGACCAGTAATAAATCCAGCCTGATCTCACGAGGAAACGTAAGTATTTTACGTTTTGTCAGTTTAGTTCATACGAATGCATACAAGTTCAATCGTACGATTTTAAAAAGGAGGCGTGGCACCTAACCCCACCCCTAACCCCAACCGTCATTGGGTGATGAGCAAATTGTACTAAATTGTACGAATTCAATTGTATGAATTCATCCGAATTATCCACTAAATCAAAAAGTTATGAATTGCCGTGAAATTGTGTTGAATGAATCATATGATGTCACATAAAGAATTTGGCACATTATTTAAGTAACACGCCAGATACTCCAACACATTTGAATGAAATGACTAGTTTGATACACACATACAGTATAAATAATACAATGAGTCAGTTTGACAAATGTAACGTTGATTTATATACCCGTCCATGATTTTTTATTTACTGACAGTTAATTAGAAATGTTTCTTTTTTCTCATATAGAAAGAATACACATTCACATTGATTGGTGTTCATTAAAAAGTCTATATAACAGGTGAAAGACTGTGGTCTGTAAGTTCTTTTAAATAAATAATGTATATTTTTATACTAAATCTGGCTTTTGTTTGTTATACTTACAGCAGTGGTCACCAAACTTGTTCCTGGAGGGCCGGTGTCCTGCAGATTTTAGCTCCAACCCTAATCAAACACACCTGAACAAGCTAATCAAGGTCTTACTAGGCATACTTGAAACATCCAGGCAAGTGTGTTGAGGTAAGTTGGAGCTAAATCCTGCAGGGACACCGGCCCTCCAGGACCAGGATTGGTGACCCCTGACTTACAGTATACTCACTGGAAAATCTAACATTTTAGTAAAACTCAAAAAACTATATAGTATAAAAACAAATCTTTGAGGTTTTCAGCTGAAATGAACAACAATTTTATTCTAGTTCACATATTTTAGGGTGGATTATCAATTACTGATGACTCCCTTTTGCAAGGCTCTTTGCACAGTGGTATGATTTTAATTTAAAACACTTTTGCAGTGGTAATTGATTTGTAATCTAATAAATCTTACAATGTTTCATCACCTATGTATCTCCTTATTTATGGCTTTTTCAATGTGGTAAACTTAGTCTGTGTTTACACTGGTGCTGTTTTGTAATAAAATGCCATTTTGAAATGAAAACGCTCCTGGTCCATATTGGGTGTTTTTACTGCATTTAAGAATTTTTACTGTACTGTACACAGCATTTTCAAAATGCTCCATTTGAGTAGTTTAAAGATGGCACAGAAGTGTGGATGCCAGGTGTCTCTGTAAAAAAAGCTTTTTAAAACACAAACGCACTAATGTAAACTGCACCTTTTCAACAGTTTACCAACTACAAATACCACTTAAACCTAATATTATCAAAAGAAAAGTTCAGAGGTTTCACTAAAGTCATAGTGCGCTGTTTACATTTACCTAGTGACATAAAAGTCAACTTACATGCCGAATTCACAAGCGCTCTTCCTCATGAGCAATGAGTGTACAGCCATCTGCTCTTAGAAACTAACCTAGAGCACCATCTGCTGTTAGAAACTAACCCAGACTGCCATCTGCTGTTAGAAACTAACCTAGAGCGCCATCTGTAGCTAAAAACTAACCTAAAGTGCCATTTGCAACTTAAAACTATCCTAGAGCGCCAATTACTGATACAAACTAGCCTAGAGTTCCATCTGCAGTTAAATTCAGCTCAGAACCATTAAAAACTAGTCTAGAGCACAGTCTGCTGTCAAAAACTGCCTAGAGCAAAATCTGCTGATAAAAACTAGCCTAGCGCTGTTAAAAACCTGCCTAGATCACTGTCTGCTGCTAAAAGCTAGCATAGAGCTACATCTATTGTTAGAATTAGCCTAGATCATTTAAAAACTAGCCTTTACCGCTGTCTGCTTTTAAAAACTAGCTTAGATTGCCATCTGTTGTTAAAACCTAGCCTAGACTGCATCTGCTGTTAAAAACCAGCCTAGAGCGCCATCTGCTGTTAAAAAACAGCCTAGAGCGCCATCTGCTGTTAAAAACAGTTGAGTGCCATCTGTTGTTAAAAATTAGCCTTGAACGCCACATGCTGTTAGAAACCATCTTGAAGCTGTTAGCCTAGAGCACCATCTGCAATTTAAAACTATCCTAGAGTGCCATCTACTGTTAAAAGTTAGCCTAGAGTGCCATCTGCCTAGAGTGCCGTCTGCTGTCAAAAACTAGCCTAGATCTCTGCTGTTAAAGGCTAGCCTAAAGCGACATCTACTGTTAAACTAGCGCCTTCTGCTGTTAAACAAACTATCGTAGAGTATTTAAAAACTAGCATATAGCGCTGTCTACATTTAAAAAGTAGTATAGATTGCCATCTGTTTTTAAAAACTAGTCTAGACTGCATCTGCTATTAAAAACCAGCCTAGAGAACCATTTGCTATCAAAATTAGTCTAGTGTCGTCTGTTGTTAAAAATTAGCCTAAACGCCATCTGCTGTTAGAAACCAGCCATAGATATATACACTAGATGTCGCCTGGCCTATTATTGTCTATTGGACGGAATGCGTCAATATCGCCGCCATCTTGCTACAGGGTAGCGCTCCTTTGAAATGAATGCGGGACCAAGGTACAGTGGAGGACTGTGGCCATGCAAAGCCAGAGATATACACATATACACATATATCTGTGATCGGGAGTTTTCCTGGATGTTAGTATGTAATTTTTATTTTCTAATTACGAAAATTATTTTACATAATTTTTCTACATTGATGAATCAGTGACCGCACGGGCATTCCTGACAAAAAGCTTGTTTTTGTGTGCATAGAAATGTACTATTCACCCTCCCTGTTAAATTTAATCTAATCCGTGTCCTGAAACACACCTCTTCTCCTGCTTTCACTTCTCATACTGACGGAGAGAGCGATTCGTTTGTGAATGAATCCTCCGAACAACTCTTTCACTAACGTTAGGCGACAATAATACAAGTTTCTGTCAGCGCAGCATCTCGTTGTCATATTTCTTTTGCATTGTTTGCTGATTTTATTCAACAAAACTAGCATAAGCCGAGTGTTTAGTGCGAGTTGGAGCTGCTTTGCCGTATGGTGAATTCAGTAAGTGACTGTTATCATCAATAACATTACCTGATTAGCACAAAAGTTCAGAACATACAAAAACAGAAAAAAACTTAATATTACCTATGAAATGTTCTGCCTTTGTGCTTTGTTTTCTTTGTTTGCTCGTTACTACACCCGTAGACAGTGCTAAAGTCCCGCATCTTCACGTAATAACACTTGACTAATGCGGTTGAATGACATTTGTCCTGGGAGCACTGTACCAATGTGGCGGCGCTATTGACGCATGCTCAGGGTCCCTATGCGATATCTAGTGTATATATCTATGGAAACCAGCCAAGAGCTGTTAGCCTAGAGTGCCATCAGCTGATAAAAACTAGCCTAGTGCTGTTAAAAACCTGCCTAGATCACTGCTGCTAAAAGCTAGCATAGAGCTACATCTATTGTCAAAAATTAGCCTAGATCATTTAAAAACTAGCCTATAGCGCTGTCTGCTATTAAAAACTAGCCTAGATTCCCATCTGTTGTTTAAAGCTAGCCTAGACTGCATCTGCTGTTAAAACCCAGCCTACAGCACCTCCTGCTGTTACTACAGATGTCTGAAACTATTTTTCACCACAGCTCTACTTATCTTGTCACTCGATCATTGATACACTGACACTTTTTTATCATGTTAAAATGTTTACTGGTGTTATTGAGGATGGTATGATATGGCACAACCTTAACAGGAACTACAATGATGTAGAGGTACACAGATTAAATGCAGCTTACGTCATTTCAGAGTTCCTAGAAACTATACAAATGCAGCCAGAAAAATATGTGTAGGGAAATTAGTTCTCTGGAAAACAAGCCTGCTGGCTAGTAAGTTCCTATAATTAGTTCAGTGTGAAAGCCCCTATTTTGAAAGTTTACCACCACAGAGACGGTGCTGTACCCTTTTCTGAAGGTGTGAAATCAAATAAATCCACAATGTCTCAGTGTCTTTGGCATTTTTTGGCAAGATAAACTCACCAAACAGAAGTGTTTATCTGTCAGTAGACGATTCACATCTAAAACATTGCACTTTGTCTACAGTTTTCAGTTTCAAGGCACGTTGTTTGTCCAAACGTCTGAATTCTGAGTCTTCTGTTCACAGTAAAGGTGCAGTGTAGAGTTGGGTCGGTAGACGATGCCATCCTCCATCGCTGAAGGCCGATAGACTTTACGATGCTGAGCCGGCATTGCGATCCACCACCCCGCCCCCTTTCGAAAACCCGCTCGCGAAAAATACACACTCGGGCCCTGTTTACACTAATACGTCTTAGATTTAAACAGCCATTTTAGAACGAAAACTATCCACGTCCACACTGGCGTTTATTAAGGATGTACCGCTGGATCGCGTCTCACTATAGTTGTTAAACGTTATATTTTATTAATCTTATCTCTATCTAATGACTCTTCGGTCTTTTGAATCTATCAAATAACATGTCACAGCATCAGCACACTGCTTCAATCTTTCGCTTTTACGCTTGTACTTAGCAAATTTAGCGAAAACCTTAGATCCTGTTGGTTGCTTGCTGTTGGTTGTGCAACTTTTTTACCAACCAAGTTTGTCGACGCCATTATAACGACACTGATCACTCTGCCTATTCAAAAAGTACGCAAAAAGTGATTGACAGGTGTGTAACTTATCTGTATTTATTTATGATTTAGTTATGGGTAAAACAAAGACCATGCGGGTCAGGTAGTTGAAACGGTAGGCTACAAAAAATAAATTCATTATGAATAAATTCATTATTCATGAATAATTAATTCACCGACGCCTACGACAACGATGCCATCGTCCATCGTAATGTTTCACATTAGACATCGTACAATGCCAAATTGGTCGACATCGCCCAACCCTAGTGCAGTGTCCATCCATGAGCTGCAGGTTAAGTTGATGTGCATTTAGATGTCGTGAGTTTCAGCGCCCCCTTGCTGTGCAGTCTTTGCAGCGTTTGAAACTCCAGTGGCATGCGGTGAGGACCCGCATTGGAAAAATATCGATATTTCAGTCCATCAAAGTAATGATATTGAACAGGATTTCCGCTGGCGTCTTTGGGAAAAGGCCAGAATCCATACAGGTAGATCTCGTCACAGAAGCGTGTAGCCATCGTGTACATCAGTAATCCAGTAGTGGGTCGTTTGATATTGATTTTATTTGTAAGCCAAAACCTGAGAATTAAACACAAAAGGTTTAGATTTTATCCACAAGCATTAAAGACTTTTACAGTATTTTGGCTTGAATATTGTAGCATTTAGGATATTTGTAAAAATGTATTAGCCAAAAAGGTGTATATATATGCACTGTTTATCAATTATATATGAAATATATAATGCTGATGAAGCCAATTATGATATGGGGATGGTTAGGAGACCATGATGTACAGAGACCAGTATGCAAGTTTGGCCAAGATGCCCAGATTAAACCCCTACTCTTTTGAAAAACATCCTGGGATTTTTAACGACTACAGAGAGTCAGTTAGACCTCGGTTTAAATCTTTCATCCGAAAGACAGCACTCGCTGAGCATTATAGAGTCCCCATCACTATACTGGGGCGTTAGGACCCACACAGACCACAGGTTGAGCGTTCCTGCTGGTCTCACTAACGCCACTTAAAGCAGCAACCTAGCTTTCCCATGTAATCTCTTATCCAGGTACTGACTTAGCTTCAGTGCTTAGCTTCAGTGGACCATGTGAGAGTTGCAGAGAGCTAGCTGCCAGTTTTGTTTGTATCTGTTTTTTTTATTTATTTATATATACAGTTAAAGTCAGAATTATTAGCCCTGTTTATTTTTTACCCCAATTTCTGTTTAACTGAGAGAAGATTCTTTTTAACTTTTTAACACATTTCTAAACATAATAGTTTTAATAACTTATTTCTCATAACTGATTTATTTTATCTTTGTCATGATGACAGTAAATAATAGTTGACTAGATATATTTCCAGACACTTCTATACAGCTTAAAGTGACATTTAAAAGCTTAACTAGGTTAATTAGGTTAACTAGGCAGGTTAGGGTAATTAGGCAAGTTGTTGTATAATGTTATTGTATGGTTTGTTCTGTAGACTATTGAAATAAAATATTTTAAAATAAATAATAATATTAAAGGGGCTAATAATTATGACCTTAAAATGCTTTTCTTTTAAGTTAAAATTTGTTTTTATTCTAGACGAAATACAAAAAATATGACTTTCTCCAGAAGAAAAAATACAAAAAAATAAATAAAAGGGGGTCTAATAATTCTGACTTCAACGATATATATATATATATATATATATATATATATATATATATATATACATCTATAATGTGGGAACCTGCGCTTGCATTTGTTTTGATGCAGGTGTGCTACACCTAGTTCAACCACTAGATGTCAAACTTACATACTGCATCTTTAAGCTAACTTATTAGTTTTTACAAAATGAAATGGATTGAACCTAAAACAATTAAGTTGTCCCCAAAAAACTCAAGAATTGTGTTGTTTCAGCTCATTTTAAAGAAGTAAACAAATTCGTCAATTTTTGAGTCTACATTTTTGAACTCACCCTCGTACAGCGTGGATTAGGCGGAGTGAAGGGTAAGCTGTGCGCACTTTCAGCTTGTGTTTAAGGATGAGCTCATTGACCGTGTCCACATGCTTCATGCCACCCTTCACCATGAAGGCAGGAATCCAGAGCACGCTGTCATTCAGCTGCCGCAAGCGCTGGATGAGATTCTCCTGCTGGGTTTCCTCCCGCAGACCCCCGTACACCCGCTGGATCACAGATGGGTTCATCGTGGTGAAGTCTGACCGCAATCCTACATCATCTGCGAAACCCTCCAGAGGAGCCAGGTTACATCTGCTCACCAATCAAAGAAAGGGCAAATGTTAAAACCACAATACATCTCTTGTTAAAGGGGACCTATTATATTATAATCACTTTTATAAGCGGTTTAAACACAGTTGTGTGGCAACATTGTGTGAATACAGCCAACTTTCTAAAAGTAAAAATCAATTAATATTTTTTTTTATAATCACACTTCAAAAAACAGTTTGTAAAAACACTTTGATTAACATTCTCTTTTTGTACATTAGCGCCAATCTAATTAGGATAGACCAGGCCCAGACAACCCCCCCACCCCCCGAAAAAAAAAAACCCAGAGGACCACCATGGATGAGGTTGGTTTCAAGTGGTTCATTTAAACCTAATTATTTTAAACATTTTAAAATGTCGTGGTATTCCAGAAACTATAAGACTGGTGGGAGCCCTGCTCTTTGTTTATTTGTTTGTTTGTTCGTTTCTTGTAATGACAGAAAAGAGAAGAAGTGGTTGAGTGCAATCTTGAGTCATGAAACTTTGGTTTTAGCATTATCGCAAATGCAGCTTTAAACTGGTTTTGGTGCTAAAGGGTTTGAGCTTTCTGTGGTCGATGTTCAGATTCAGGTCCTCATTCTGCCAAATTTCATAACCTTCAGCAAAAACTCAAGACATTCAGCAGAATGTACAAGGCATGTACAAAGCATCTAAATCCCTCAGAGCTATCATCAAATAGCATTAGAGCTAATTGAAGCACATTAGCCTACCTTAACATGTCTGAAACATGTCTAAAAAACAAGACATTATCTGAAAAACATGTCTGAAAAACATGACATTATCTGAAAAACATGTCTGAAAAACATCTGACATTATCTGAAAAACATGTCTGAAAAACATCTGACATTATCTGAAAAACATGTCTGACATTATCTGAAAAACATGTTTGACATTATCTGAAAAACATGTCTGAAAAACATGCCATTATCTGAAAAACATGCCTGAAAAACAAGACATTATCTGAAAAACATGTCTGAAAAACATGACATTATCTGAAAAACATGCCTGAAAAACATGACATTATCTGAAAAACATGTCTGAAAAACATGACATTATCTGAAAAACATGTCTGACATTATCTGAAAAACATGCCAGAAAAACATGACATTATCTAAAAAACATGTCTGAAAAACATGACATTATCTGAAAAACATGTCTGACATTATCTGAAAAACATGCCAGAAAAACATGAAATTATCTGAAAAACATGTCTGACATTATCTGAAAAACATGCCAGAAAAACATGACTTTATCTGAAAAAAATGTCTAAAAAACATGACATTATCTGAAAAACATGACATTATCTGAAGAACATGCCTGAAAAACATGACATTATCTGAAAAACATGCCTGAAAAACATGACATTATCTAAAAAACATGTCTGAAAAACATGACATTATCTGAAAAACATGTCTGACATTATCTGAAAAACATGCCAGAAAAACATGAAATTATCTGAAAAACATGTCTGACATTATCTGAAAAACATGCCAGAAAAACATGACTTTATCTGAAAAAAATGTCTAAAAAACATGACATTATCTGAAAAACATGACATTATCTGAAGAACATGTCTGAAAAACATGACATTATCTGAAAAACATGTCTGACATTATGTGAAAAACATGTCTGAAAAACATGACATTATCTGAAAAACATGTCTGAAATTATCTGTAAAAAATTGCTTAAAAAACATGACATTATCTGAAAAACATGACATTATCTGAAAAACATGACATTATCTGAAAAAACATGTCTGAAAAACATGACATTATCTGAAAAACATGACATTATCTGAAAAACATGTCTAAAAAACATGATATTATCTGAAAAACGTGTCTGAAATTATCTGTAAAAAAATTGCTTGAAAAACATGACATTATCTGAAAAACATGACATTATCTGAAAAAACATGTCTGAAAAACATGTCTGAAAAACATGACATTATCTGAAAAACATGTCTGAAAAACAAGACATTATCTAGCTTTCTCTAGAAACTGAATTTCATTGGACTGCGATCTTCTCTTATAAAAAAGAGCACATTATTACACATGCAGCCACAGAGGGGTGCCCACATTTTTGCACAAGAAGATTTTCACAATGCGACTTTAAAATACAGTAACATACTGCAGAAATGTCCTGCTGTAAAAAGTTCATATTACAGGTAAATACTGTGTAATTTACAAAATTGTTCAGATTCAGGTCCTCATTCTGCCAAATTTCATAACCTTCAGCAAAAACTCAAAACATTCAACAGAATGTACAAGGCATGTACAAAGCATCTAAATCCCTCAGAGCTATTATCAAATAGCATTCAAGCTAAGTGAAGCACATTACCGTATAACAAAACTATGGTTGTCTATCTCCTTTCCACATCCGCTCTTCAGGAGAATGCCTGAGTTTCCCACCACTGCACATGTCTTGAACGTCTTGTTCTTCAGAGGAGAGACTTCAGGAAGTAAACTATGGAGAGTTTGAGATACGCTGAATGTCCTGCGTCTGTCCAGAACGTAGCGGATGGTGTCGCCCGGCTTAAAATTGCTCTTGATAACCGACACGTCTCTCTCTGCGTCCAAGTAGCGGAGTATGTCTTTCCTGTGCGTGTGAAAGATGTAAAAAAAGGTAATCGATTACAGGCTAATACTGACATTTCATATTAGTTTACAAAGCTACCAGCATGCTAAAGTTAACCAAATGAACGCCATAAATTTGAGATTGTCATAACACAGTAGTGTGATTTGCAAAACCCTTCAAATTTCCATATTTGATATACCACAAAAACTTTGATGTCTTTGACAATTCAAACATGAGCTGGAAACACAGAGACAATCGGCTCCACACCTCACCATGTGGGAATGTGTGAATATGGGAACGCCAACTTCACCTTTCCTTCATTTACATTTGAAGCATACCCCTCTCTTCACTCACTCTCTCTTTATACTTACTCACACAGAATGGTCCTTTCCAATAATATTTAAGTTTTATATCAATCCAAGTGACTTTATCTATCATGTTTGATATCATTTGAAATGTTGATTGGTACAATGGTCTCATTCCCTCAGAAATAGACATAATCGAAATTATAGATATACAATTTAAGGTATCTTTTGAACCACTGCTAAGGGTGTGCCTTTACCAAGGGGGCTTCAATTCAAATAACCATTTGTTTCCTATCTGCTTGTTAAGTGGTGACGTGTTTGTGACGTATGTAATACTGTTTCCGGGTCCAAGCCGCCATCTATTTGAGTGAAGAAATCATTTGTTTATGATCACGTTTTATTCCTATCACACATTAAAGTTAATTTTATATAAAATCATAGTGTACACGACAATCTCTGGGCTTGCTGCATTACAAATACCAAAAATGTAACAATTTATAAAATAATTAATCACTTTCTGGCCATTGGATATTAGGCATGGACATATACAGTATACTGCGATCGTGATTTTCGAAAGCATCAAATCGCTTTTTAAACAATTATTATTACCATTTCATGAGTCTCCCCATTCAGTTGAATAGAGCACTTGGACCCGGAAGCCGCTTCAGAAACTCTTCAGATCTAACATGCCACTAAATGCACAAACCTTTTGTTATTCAACACACCCCTTTCCTCGAGGAGATTCTGTGATTACCTACTTAAGGGAAAGTTTCTAAATGTTCAGAGCGATTCTGTAACCAGATTAGCCTGTAGTGTGGAGCTTCATGCTCCATATTATGTATATTTTGAAGTCAGATATGCATCTTTTGATCTTGGATTTATCTTTGAGAATTTAATGTCTTGTATTGATTGTTTATGAATTGACTGACTGAATTGGCATAACACACATTTACCTGACTAATACATTTTTATGTTTTGAATTATTCAAACAGAGTTTGTGCTATTATCTCTAGATTACGTTAAGTCCATAACACTACAAGCACCTGTACAGGTTAGTAACGGACTAAAACACGGTAGACGGAGCAGCGTGGCACGCTTTACGATGCTCTTAGAGTTCCGACTAACACATTGGCCTTAATTCAAGTAAACTGAAACTGTAAAAGGCCTATCTAAGGGGATAGCAGATCTATGGGGACCACATAAAAAATATTGTAATCTGAGTAAGTAGAGGTTAATCGCCTCTGTTTAGTGACCAAGACTGGCATGCTTGTGTTTAAGAGATTGTATACTCGGCCGGTACAAGACTCAGGATGTTATAGGGATCTGAATGAAAGAGAATAATATACAATAACGAACTGAAGAAAATATTCAATCATAATCTAAAGTAATATTAAAAAGAAGTAAAATAATCCTATCAACATTTTGTAATTGGAGTCAGATAAAACGAGGATAAATATATATTAATATTCTAAACCACCTCATACTAAAATTGGAGTCAGATATGAGTTAAATTTAAAAGTAAATCAACATTGTGCACTGGAAAGACTGAACAGGCAGTGAACCTTCATCCACCAGTCGACACCATCGTTGGACTAACTGGCTGGACCTTACAACTTGAACTTAAGTCATAAGACTTCATGTAAATATAAAAAAAACTACTACTGTTTTACCTCCACTGTTAGCAATTTCCTAAAATTGTAACAGTAAATAAAATCAACAGTAACTTACTAGCAGCAGTTCACTAGTAACATAATGTAAATCAATTACAGCAAAAATACAGGTTTTACATTTACAGCACCATTTAACTTGCTAAATATGTATTTACTGGGATGTATCTTTACTGTAAAATATATAGTCATTTTAACAATGTGACTTTAACACACAGTAACATACTGAAGAAATGTCCTAGAGCAAAACAAAGTTCATATTACAGTTAAATACTGTGTAGTTTACAAAGATTGTTAACGAAAACCACTATTTTGATGCAATTGACACAAATTTCCTCCTAGTTTTCTGATGCAGAGCAAAAAAAAAGAGAAATACTAACACACTGAGAGGAACATATATCATGAAAAACATTTTGGATCACCTAACCAGACCTTTATTCATCCCAGGCTCAATGGAATTATGTGCCCAGTAGGCATGGGCCGGTATAAGATTCTGACGGCATGATAACCTTGGTTTCATAGTATCACGTTATTGTGATTACTGCTCAAAAAATATGCTCTTTTTAAATGTCTGGGTATAAAACTAAAACATTTTGCCCTTTTAAACACAATATATCTGATTTTGAGAAACATTTAAAATGTTTTGGAACACTAAACATGTCAGGCTAAATGAATTATTGACTTCTGATGTCTTCATTTGTTTCAAAAACAGATTTTTTTACTATTTAAAACAGCATCTGTGGATATCTGTAGATGCTGAAAAAAAAACTAAAATCTTACACATACTTTAGAAACGGTATAGCAGAAAATTTTGGCGGTTTTAAAACCTTGACTTTTCTACACCGCTGTATACCTTGAAAACGGTTATCGACCAATGCTTAGTCCAGTGTAGAACAATTCCAGACACCAAGTAAAACGGTTCTGATGTTATGATAACCTTGGATAAAAATATCACAGCTTCATGGTATTGTGATTAGGTATGGGACGATAACCATTTTAAGGTATATTTAAAAAAGTCAAGGTATTAAAACTGCCAAAATTTTCTGCTATACCGTTTTTACGGTATTTATAAGGTTTGTTTTAGTATCAACAGTATCTTCAGCAGAAAAGATATCCAAGATGCCGTTTTAAACTGTAATGAAATCTGTGTTTAGAGAGCTTAACTTGCTACAATTTAAGAAAACACATACAATTATAAAAAATACAAGCAAATTAAGAACCAACACAAACAACTGAAGAAACCCACTGCATTTATTAAACGCATCGCATCAGTTTATTTAGGCTAATAATTTACAAAAGACAATGGAATCATGTAATCAGGATATTAAAATAAATTATTAATTTGAATTATTTAGCCTGACATGTTTACTGCTGGGCAACGCAGTGGCGCAGTAGGTAGTGCTGTCGCCTCACAGCAAGAAGGTCGCTGGTTCAAGCCTCTGCTCAGTGTGTGGCAACCCTTGGATTAATAAAGGGACTAAGCTGACAAGAAAATGAATGAATGAATGAATGTTTACTGCTCTAAAATGTTTTAAAAGTTTCTCAAAACAAAATATATTGAGTTCAAAGGGGAAAAAGTTTTAGTTTTTTACCCAGACATTTAAAAACAGAATATATTTTAGAGCAGTAATCATACCATCAGAATCTTACACCGGCCAATGCATATACTAGACTTGAACCTCGGTCTGCTTCACACCGCAACCTAAGTCAGCCACCGTTCATGCTGAGCTACTGAGCAAACCAGTCTTACTGGAAAAGCCATTCATATGGAGATAAGTACCATCCCGTAGTGTTCGTTTACACAGAAAATGCAGATAACATGTACCCACAAGTGCATATTTCTCAGTTCTCAAATAAGTAGCCCTGCACACATTTTTCCCAATTAAGCCAGTGTTGCCTTTATTTATAGTCCAGGTTACCCACCTTATTATGGACACAAGGGTGGCATTAATCTTCCATCCAACTCCCAAGTCAAGACCATTCAAGACATTGCCGAAAAGTTTCTCAGAGCCATTGGCCATCAGTCTAGTAGCACTTGGCTCCAAGTACCTATTGAAATGAAAGGCAGTTATTCACCAGCGATTTCAGCAGTGTATCTTCATTGTTGATATATTGAAATAGTTTGCCTTGTACCAAGTTTGGTAGTTATTTTGTTATATATATATATATATATATATATATATATAAAGTCAGAATTATTAGCCCCCTTCGATTTTTTTCTCTTTTTTAATTATTTCCCAAATAATGTTTAACAGAGCAAGGAAATTTTCACAATATGCCTGATAATATTTTTTCTTCCGTAGAAAGTCTAATTTGTTTTATTTTGGATAGAATAAAAGCAGTTTTGAATTTTTTTTAAACCATTTTAAGGACAAAATTATTAGCCCCTTTAAGCTATTTTTTAGTTTTCTTTTTGATAGTCTACAGAATAAACTATCAACAGTAACATAGTAACAAAACAAACTACAATAACTTCATCATGGCAATAATAAAATAAATCAGTAATTAGAAATGAGTTATTATAACTTAATATGTTTAGAAATGTGTTGAAAAAATCTTCTTTTCGTTAATCAGAAATTGGGGGGGAAAATGAACAGGGGGGCTAATAATTCTGACATCAGCTTTATATATGGGTGGCACATTTATTAAATCTGAAGCAACATTACAGCCATGAGGTAATTAGAGAGAGGTCTGGATGCAGACCTGGTGCAGTGCAATCTGACCTGCATCCAATGGCACTCGCAATTGAAATGTGAGATTTCAAAAATCGTACACAGCGGCCTCTGGTAGATTTGTAAAAACCCAAACTGAAAAAATACCTCCTGTGACATATTTGCCGCTCTTAAGAAATCTATATAGCGGTAAGTTTTCAGAATGAGCCTGAGTTTATGTCTGATTTTATGTTACGCTCTAATAAAAAAAGAGTTTAAAAAAACCAACACTGTTGTATAATCTGAATATTTACTAAAAGAGCCACAAAACTGGAAAAAAACTCAAATGTATTAACAAAACAACAATATGAAATACCCATTTTACATTAGTGTGTAACCTAGCTGTTGGTGAATGTAAAAAGTCTTCAAACAAAAAATGAATGGCTTCCCAAAATAAAACTGACTCTGAACTGCCAGTATTTCCATTAATACCGCACAAACTCATGCAAGGTTGCAACAAATTTGCATAATGGAAGTCTATAATTTATACTTGCTATTTGCAAACAACTTCTGCTTTGATAGAAGTTGGTTCTTGTTGTTGTAGAGTCAAAGAGATGCTGAATTTCTGCTCGGTTTGGTAAAATGACTCTTAAGCAATGGCATTGTGCATTCTAACTTGGTATCTTTTGCATTAGCATACACTTTTCCTGTCATCTTTATTAGTTTCCAATTTTGTACAGTGTTATTTTAGTATCATAGATATTAGCACATCAGTTTCATGTTCTCATGAAGTGTATTTACAGCACTCAGCAGTACAGTTTTGTTTAATAAGTGTTTTTGTAAGAAAGTGTCACACATTCTGTGAATTTGCAGTGAAAACCCCCCTTTTTGAACTTTTATTCGTTAGCCTGTACGCCCTTGTCCATTATTAAACCGTTATATTGCATAATGGGATTTGATGACTTGTTTCTGAAAATCTGTACATATTTTTTAAACCCAAAATTCATTTACAAGACTTGCTGTTGTTGTATGGATAATGTCACTTTATGTACAATGTTCAGACAACAACATCTAATATCTTATGTCACGTCGCTAACCAGCAGACTAAGGAACAGCTTTTTCCCCAGAGTTGACTCCCTTTTGAACTATGCCCCCCACTGACACTTTTGCCAGCCCCTCAACCGTTGCCTTGTACTTGTACATGTGTAATGACAATAAAGTTGAATCTAATCTAATCTAATCTTCTAAATGTATTTAATTAAAAAAGGTTTACGTATTTGTGCTGGAAAACCAGAAAAAAACACAATTTTGTTAACAGAAAAAAAATATATATAATATCAATCTATCTATCCATCCATCCATCCATCCATCCATCCATCTATATATATATATATATATATATATATATATATATAATATTATAATAATATATAATATAAAAATATATATATATATATATATATATAATATAAAGCATAATATATCCTTTATAATATATATATTTATATATATATATATATATATATATATATATATATATATATATATATATATATATATATATATATATATATATAAAGCATAATATTAAAATTATTTGACTAACTTTCAGCACACCTTTTAACTACTTACAATTATAATCATCTAATAAACACATAATAATCATCTGGATATATCTGGGCATAGCTGAATAGAAAGAGTTCAGAGTAAATTCGTACGAATTAGCCACTTAACTGACAAAATGTAAAGCAGTTACGTTTCCTCATGAGATCAGACTGGTCTGATCTTAAAAACGACTCACTGAATGTTTCTTTGAAGGATAAGTGTTAAGCACAACATAAAATAATAACACAATGCTAGCAGCTGTACACACAAATACACACCCAGGTTCCTGATCAGCACTCTGTACCTGAGCCCAGGTATGGAAATCAGTATCGGTAACATAAAAAAGGGACACCCAGGACTTTGTAATAGTTTACAAATTTGGACTGAATGCTACCTGCTTAACGTTTCTCATATAAATATCTAATAACCACATACAGAACATATGCTGTCCTAGTTACATCTCTGTTTGGCTTCAAGTGTCAACTGTCGAAATGTTTCTGTCAGTTGTTTGTGTGCAAAGCTCAGAAAAAGGAAGTGCAGAGGATGTGGCCATCCGGCTGACCGAATATGAATGCGAATATGAATATGACTGACAGATCTACACAGAACGAGCACTGACTCATAACCCATGTGCATCAGTTGTTGCCTATTTGAGTATTTTGTAATCAGATTTGGCAACTTTCTCATTATGGCTGCAACGTTTTTGGTCGTTGCGAAAAAAATAAATAAGTAAGGCAGACAGTCGGTCACTTGCAATGTTGTTCCTCATTATCGTTTCACCGCTAAATATAACAAGCATGGCCATTGTGTTCGACTTGGGGTGTTGTGGAGGGATTTTGTCAGACAGCATTTTGTTTGTAAAACTCAATTTTAGCAAAAGATGAGCAGAAAAGGGCCACACTGTCTGATAACAGAAACCATAAAATGTAAATGAGAACAGTTTTCACTATATATAAGGCTGTATTAAAAGACAAATAGGCTGAAATACAAGGAGATGATACCATGTGATTGTGTGATGAATATGCTAATTAGAGCATGACGTCATCTAATGTAATTAAGTGACTTTTTTTCTGGTGCCAATTCGTAACTTTTTGATTAAGAGTCTAATTCATATAAATTTGGACGATCTCATTCATACAATTGAGTATGATTTGCTCATCTCCTAATGATGGTTGGGTTTAGGGGTGGGGTTTGGTGCCACACCTCCTTTTAAAAATCGGCTGCAACCAAAATCGCCTACTAATTGAGTAATCTGCAGGCACAGGATGTTAAAGGGCCACGAAACCCCCTCGTTTCAGCAGGGTGTTTTCACACCTCTACTTTGGAAAAAGTCAGAAAAGTGGGCGTGTCCAGCTCTGTTTAGGGCGGAGTGTCGGAGGAACTAAAGTGGGATGGTGTGGGAGTGTCTATTTGGGCACAAGCGAGTTTCAGTCAAAACACACACACACACACACACACACACACGGGAGAAAGTGATGGTGTTTACATGGACATCTGTAGTCGAATTATTTGCCAAATTATTAAATGGTGCACTTTAACTGCAGTTTGGCTCTTTCATTCAGGGAATTCATTCATGCCCCTCGCGACCAACGAGATATTTGATTCGAGGAGCTGCTCTAAGCGTGTATTTTTCATGCAATGTTTGATACCGCACGGCAAATGAGAGAAAAAAACCCTCAGCATTTCCCGGAAACTTAGATGCACACAGCAGGTAGTGTCAGAAAGCCGCGTGTGTTATTTCAGTCACAAAATGCGGTGAAAATCCTACACGAGGTTAAAGTTTGGTTGTGGTGCTAACATGTTTACACTCGGTGCAATAGTTTGTATGATACGAACTAACTGAATAAACAAAGAGCACTGGTCGCTCACTTACCAAATCTGTAGAGACAGGACAATCACCAGCAACTAGAGCCGCGTCTTTATTAAGAGGAGACTACAAGCGAATCCAGATCTCAGCGTTTGCAGATGAGAACAGCTCTCAGGTAAACAATGTTCCTCCTTAGACACGTTAGTTATTGTTGTCGAGCGTCGCGTACACTGTTAATCCACGCATGACTCCAGCTGAGCTCTCACAGAGAGAAAATGAAAACAAATCTTAACTGCAGCAAACTATAAAAGTTTCACGCTTGTTTTGCCAATATAACGTGGCGTGTCTGTCGTCTAAACACTGTGACAGTAATGAATATTAATGAAGTTGCACAATAGAGCGCGCTGATTGGTTTGAACCAAGCTTTACTCATGCATTAATGCAGCACACTCTGAGACGTAATAAGACACGCTCTGGCACAGACGTCCAGTCTGCACGCTGGAATACACGCTATTATGTCATGGCCGTGACGCAGCTTCAAAAATTTGTTTCAAACCGGAAGTACGAATTTGCTTAAAATAACGCAAAAACAACCAATTTACACTTTTTAGTGAAATATAGGTGTCCTAATAATGTTTATAGCAGTGTGGGACACATATACGACTGTCAACAGCTCAAAAAATGTGTTTTGGTGTTTCGTGACCCTTTAACATGACATCATATTGACGTTGTACCCTAACGTACCCCGACATCGTGGGGACGTTGAATAATTCGTTGAACACGAATTATTTAGCCAGGGGTATATTTGGCTGCATTTTTTAAGCAAACGTTTCGGGCGGTATAATGCCGTTCCTTTGCACGCTTACCGGCTGACCGCTTACCTCCGTGTGGAGGGCTTTCCTGCCGCAACTAGTTTGTCCAGTTAGCTCGTTGTGTACTTCGGCGGACTTGAGACACAGAAAGGAGTTGTCCACGACGACGGCCAGATTTGTGTCCAGGGAAGAGCGGTTCCAGAAATCAGGTAAGACAAAAAATGAATCCAAAAAATAAAATGAACGAGTGAACAACAGGGTGAGAATGTGGTAAAATCTGAAAATGTGGTAAAATCAGACGAGGGCTTTTCTTTTTCTGGACTGCTTTTGTAAATCGTTGGTTGGGTTTAGGGAAGTAATTGGGTGGGCGGGTCAATCGGTAAAATTGGTTGGGTTTAGGGAAGGAGGAGGGTGGGTCAGTCAATTGGCTGGTCGCCCAGTCAATAATTCAGTCAGTCAGTCAGACGGTCGATCGACAGCAGCCTCTGGTGGGTTTACGAAAATAGCGCAGGCGCGAACGGCACTGACAAGAGACATTTGAGTTACTAAAAAGCGCACACAGCAATTCGCGAAAACAAAAACTGCAAAAATACGTACCTCCTGGGACGTATTTCGTGGTCTCCAGAAAAGTCCACGGGACTATGTTTTCAGAATGATGGAAAAAATGCTAGATTCCACACAATTGATTTGTGTTGGGAAAACATGAAGGAATTGAGTTAACCTATTAATTTTTTACAAATTTAAGTGGATTAAACTTAAAACAATTAAGTTGTCTCCAAAACGACTTAATAAAGTTCAGCTCATTTTATATATGTAGACTGAACAAACAGCAAAGGGAATTTTTTGAGTCTATTTACAGTAAGTATCATGGTACTGTAGTGCGTTTAGTTACGATAAGTATTATGATACTGTAATGTATTTAATACAGCATCATATAACTAAATTCTTCTTTAAATTGCAAATGAGCAAGCAGTCCCTCCACATAAAAAAGCCTTTATCACACGTCAAATCAATTCGAAACCTGACAGGAGGCTCAACATTAGATGCAGTTGACATTTACGTTGAGGTTTTTCATTTTTGCACTTCTGTTTTCAAATCATGCGCGAGTCTGCAGAAGTATAAAGGAAACCACATCAGATGAGCAGAAGCTGTCTGCTGTCCTCTCACTTACCCGACAACACATAACTGTCTTATGCACACACGCACACACACACACACACACACACACACACAAACACGCATATTCACAGGCACGAACGTCACTACTAAATCAAAAACAAAGTAACCTCTATTTTGAAAGGAAATGTGTCGTATCACAAGCTGTTTAGGCTCTGAACTGAAATCCATGAGCTTCTCTGTTGTGAAAAACTAAAGCGGCCCCAATGTTGTAAAGTGAAACAAATTATGAGCATGTATGAACTTGACCACATTTTTTTTCTTCTTGGAAAAAAACAAGCGTACGTTCTTCAGTGAGTACGTTAAATTCACCTTAGCGAAGTGAACTAGATGAGTGTCTCAAATGTACTTCTGAGAAAACATTTGAGCAGGATGTTTGACTAATGTTGACACATTTTGCTTTTAGATGTTATGATAAAAGATTTACTGAAGCAAAGACACATTTATCAAAGACATGTTAAAATACAATGACCTGAAAAAAATAAGTAAAAAATATGAAAGTATGAAGCGTGTGTGTACCTTAATGTTTCAAAAATGTAAATATGAAAGTTAAATATTAATTTACATTTCTATTAAAAAAAATTGCTATCTTGGCCTGCTTACATAGGATTTAAGTTTAAATTAGATAATTTAATTACATAATAATTACATAATTATAATAATTACTTTAAATAATTACTTGAAATATGGTTTAAGCACAAACTAAAATATATGATATATTAAAACAAAATTATTTAAAAATATATATTAAAAGTTATTACACTTATTTAAAATTATAAGCACTTAAGAGCTAATAATAACCATGTTTTTATTTATTTCAATTTATTATTTACCATACATTGCTTCTAAATACACCATTCAGGCAGGTAGCTACAATTAAGTGTTTGTTTATTTTTTTGCAATGGGATGTAAGCTACATGTTAGCTATGGGATGAATGTAAAAAATGGCTATTTCTACTGAAACAAAGAAAGACAGTGTGAATCAATCTTAATTTAATTGAGTTGGGGCAGAAGACACGTCAGTTTAAGTTGACGACAGGACGCTTGCTACACAAATGAACGAATAAATACTCACAAACGAAGTCTAGTGAAGAAACACACACGTATCGACCATCATTAAACCTCGACGCGGATCAGATTTATATTAACAGAAGAAGAAGAAGGGCTCCTTACCATGTCAGACTAGCTTTCTGGTGCACTTCGTTTCTGCCAATGTCTGTCGTCTTGTAAAACAATACAAGCAGAACGCTAATGGTACAGACCGTCCAGTGTTTGCGTGAAAGCCGCATTTCGCGCGTTTATCTTGATTAATTGTTTAGAAATGATAAGAAAATGAACATCATAACCACCCATCTCATCTGAACACAAGAACCAACACCGCCTCTCTCTCTCTCTCTCTCTCTCTCTCTCTCTCTCACACACACACACACACACTCTCGCTTTCTCTCTGACTGACACGCAAATGAGCCAATAACTATAAGCTACAGTTGAGGTCTGAATTATTAGCCTTCTTGTATATTTTAGCCAATCTCTGTTTGACAGGATGACTTTTTTCAACATATTTCTAACAATAATATTTTAATAACTAATTTCTAAATAACTAATGATGACAGTAACTATTTTTCAAGATAGTATTCAGCTTAAATAGCAATTTAAAGGCTTAACTAGGTTAATTAGCCAGTCATTGTATATCGATGATTTGTTCCGTAGGAAACAAAATTGCTACCTAACACTGACCTTAATGTTTTTTGTAAAAAAAAAAAAAAAAAAAAAAAAAAAAAGTTGAATTAAAACGTGTTTTTATTCTAGCTAAAATAAAACAAAAGACCTTCTCCAGAAAAAAAAATATATAGGAAATACTTTGAAAAATTCCTTGTTCTGTTAAAAAATCACAGGAGGGCTAATAATTTTGGTTTGGTTTATATATATATATATATATATATATATATATATATATATATATATATATATATATATATATATATATATATATATATATATATATATATTTTTTTTTTTTTTTTTTTTTTTTTTTTTTTTGATTTTCAGTATTTAAAATGAGAAAGAACAACATTGCAAACCCAAACCCATACCAATCCAACAGCGGGATAGTGCTCACATTAGCCGAAAATTAACAAATATACAATGGTACATGTAAGTTTAAATACAAATACAAAGAAATATTAATAATAGCAATAAATAAAAATAAAAGCAAATAAATAATAAACAAATAAATACATTTTACAAACATATAACCATACGTACCATATGTACAACAAAACCAAATTATTTGAGATCTTCCACATAATCAATAAAAGGTTGCCACACCTTTAAAAAAAATCCCCTTCGACCCTCCTAATGAAAACCTGATTTTTTCCAAATAAAGACATAGTTTCTCTAATCCACTGAGCATGAGTGGGAGGATGAGAATTCTTCCATTTCAGCAAAACAGCCCTACGTGCCAATAAAGTCGAAAAAGCAATGATTTTACACTCTGAAGAAGGCAATTGTATTTCCTCTGAAGTAAAAGCAGAGCTAATAATTTTGACTTCAACTGTGTTCATTCATTGATTTTCCTTCAGCTAAGTTTCTTATTTATCAAGGGTCGCCACAGTGGAGTGAACAGCAGATTAAGCAGCAGATGCCCTCCCAGCCGGTCTATCTGTCTGTCTGTCTTTCTCCATCCATCCATCCATATGCTTTAACCCCAAATACAGAAAATGAAACTAGTAATGACTATGTCTGTTGTAAGTCTGATGTTTATATCACACGTTTTAATGTATAATATGAGTGCATGTTTAATAAACATTTCTGCATTGGTAATATTTATACGTAATAGCATTTAATGTAATGTAATGTAATGTAATGTAATGTAATGTGTATTTATATAGCGCATTTATTGTGTATGGCAATACACCCAAAGCGCTTCACAATCATGAGGGGGGGTCTCTCCACACCACCACCAGTGTGCAGCATCCACTTGGATGATGCGACGGCTGCCACAGGACAACGGCGCCAGTGCGTTCACCACACACCAGCTATTGGTGGAGTGGAGGGACAGTGATAGAGCCAATTCGGTGGAGAGGGGATGATTGGGAGGCCATGATCGTAAGGGCCGATAGAGGGACTTTGGCCAGGACACCGGGGTTACACCCCTGCTCTTTCACGAGAAGTGCCTTGGGATTTTTAATGACCACAGAGAGTCAGGACCTCGGTTTAACGTCTCATCCGAAAGACGGACTTTATTTACTGTAAATACAGTTTTTCTCAGTGGCTTTGATGCATTTCTCACAACACTATTCACATTTGCACAGCAGTTAATGCACTTGTCCAAACAATTAGTGATTTGTGCACATCATAGTAGCAGTTTCTCATTCCTTCCAACAAATTGCGAATGCTTTTGGACATGCATCAATTGTTGTCATACAACTCTCTGCTGCTTGATAACGTTTGCTTATGTCATGTCTGTCAAAACGAACTAAACTTGTGAATGCTGAATAGTCATTCCATATAAAACTAATAGTCTTCATTTCAATACTTGAGTCATTACATATTACAGTTTTTCTCGATTGCTTGGATGCAGTTGTCAACTGAAACTCCACATTTTCAAAACAGTTAACACACAGGCCTAAACAGCGGCACTCATGGTCAAAATGACTCATTTTGCTTGCAAAAGGCACATATCGTGTCAAAACATTTAACATATGCAACAAAAGCTAGTTTTACCTTCAAACTACACAACTTGCAAACAAGTATATGAGCTCTTTCAATTAATCATTACACAATGGACAACAAAATACAAAATACAGAACTCAAAATGCACCACCATTGCTTGCCATTGTAGCTTATAGCCAATGGCATTTGTTGTCTCTATTTGGGCTGTCAAATTCGCCTTTTTGCAAAGAATTTGATCAAGAATAAGATGTGCTTTGATTGAATATATATTGAATATATATATTGAATTCATGACATTTTTCAAAAACACATGTAAACTACAGTTTTTCTAGTTTGCTTTGAGCTGGTTAAAGAAACTAGGTTCCTCTTCATTTTCATTATCACTATCCCAGCAGAGCAGAGGACCGGTCTTGCAAATGTGTAAACCCTTTCTCATTGGGTTGACACATTTTCCCCACCATTTTTCCAAACAGTTAACACAGATGTCATTCAAGCAGTCCAAACTCCATTGTTTTAGTTTTGGTAACCAAACAGAATCCATATATTCCTAATTATTAAAAACTACCAACATCAGTATGAAATCACTGAAGCACCGGTTTGACACTCCTTCACACAAATCTTCAATAAGCCATCATTCTGCAAACCTTATAAAAACGATGGAAGGTCTGTGTTGTTCTGTGCCAGCATTGATGGAGGAGGTCAATATGGCTATGTCCTATACTCCCAATAGATTTGACTGTATATTAGTTTACATGTGTTTTCTCTAATACTTACAGTATTTTATTACTTTTGTCTGTTTTTTTATATACAGTATTTCAGTTTTCAGCCACAGTTTGAAAAATGTCATGAATTCAATATATATTCAATCAAAGCACATCTTATTCTTGATCCAATTCTTTGCAAAAAGGCAAATTTGACAGCCCAAATAAAGACAACAAATGCCATTGGCTATAAGCTACAGTGGCAAGCAATGGTGGTGCATTTTGAGTTCTGTATTTTGTATTTTGTTGTGCATTGTGTAATGATTAATTGAAAGAGCTCTTATACTTGTTTGCAAGTTGTGTAGTTTGAAGGTAAAACTAGCTTTTGTTGCATATGTTAAATGTTTTGACATGATATGTGCCTTTTGCAAGCAAAATGTGTCCTTTTGACCATGAGTGCCGCTGTTTAGGCCTGTGTGTTAACTGTTTTGAAAATGTGGAGTTTCAGTTGACAACTGCATCCAAGCAATCGAGAAAAACTGTATTATACAGTCAAAACTATTGGGAGTATAGGACATAGTCATATTGACCTCCTCCATCAATGCTGGCACAGAACAACACAGACCTTCCATCGTTTATATAAGGTTTGCAGAATGATGGCTAATTGAAGATTTGTGTGAAGGAGTGTCAAACCGGTGCTTCAGTGATTTCATACTGATGTTGGTAGTTTTTAATAATTAGGAACAGATGGATTCTGTTTGGTTACCAAAACTAAAACAATGGAGTTTGGACTGCTTGAATGCCATCTGTGTTAACTGTTTGGAAAAATGGTAGGGAAAATGTGTCAACCCAATGAGAAAGGGTTTACACATTTGCAAGACCTGTCCTCTGCTCTGCTGGGATAGTGATAATGAAAATGAAGAGGAACCTAGTTTCTTTAACCAGCTCACTGTAAATGTTGCACTAGTTGTACAAATCTGTCAAACAAACTTTATAAAAAAATCTTTACATCTTTTTTTTTTCCAAAAAATTCTTCTAAATTTAATAATTTTATGGATGATTTACAGACCTGTGAATGTTGTAGGTTCAGTTCCAATACTGCAGTATTGTTTACAGTTGTGCACAGCTCTACACAAAGGGAGCTTATTGTGAATAAGGGTGTATTCTTTTGCACAATGCTGTGAATAAATTAGAATCATAAAGAGCATCTGCAGTACAAATGTGCAACATGCATATTCAGTGTCTTGTACTCAGATACCTTACCAAATGCAGTGATGTCTAACTTTACTGTAGTTTCCAAATGGCTGTGCATATAGGGCATTTTTCAGGAAGTGTCACCAAAATCTGACTTTTTTTTGCATTGGAAAAAATTAACAGAGTAAACTGTCATAATGAAAACATGACACAGCTATTTGACTATCTTGTTCATAAACAATGGGGTCAGGACTTTTCATCTTGATCACACTTGCATTGTCATAAATACTTGCTTTTGAGGAATGATCCATTTTGAGCAAGTGACACACTTTTGCAGGTTATCAGCTGATAATGAATTAACTGTTGTGCAAATGTAAATAGTGTTGTGAGAAATACACCAAAAGCCACTGAGAAAAACTGTAATCTGATTCATTATTGTTGTGCAAGTTCAGATTTTTAAAAATGTTACAAAGCACATATTAAAAAAGCATACATGGACATACACTTCTGATAAGCTAAACCAAAATACATAATTACATAATTATTAGTTACACAAATTAGGCTACTCAATTGCTTTGCAGTGCTCATAAAAAATAAACAGGAGAAAGGAAATTTGCTTAAATCTGTTCCGATATAAAACGTTTACGTTTAACATAAGAGTAACGCACACCACAAGACTTTATACTTGAATGAACAGTCTGCATTGAGCAAAGTGAATCCGATCTTCTGATCCATTCATCCAAAAATATTCCCCGAGTGTTCTTACATGTTCAGGCCAGCAGGTGACGACTATGTGCTAAGAATTTTCCTCATGATATTAACTGTCTAATCCGTTTTAAATATGTGAATGTGTTGTTTTCTACTTACAATGTTCTGTTTTTCTACTCAGTTTTAAAATTGTGTAGACTACAGAAGTTGTCATTTTTGTACCAAAAATGTTGTCTGTCAGCCATACTGAACAATAATCATTATAAAATTATATATATATATATATATATATATATATATATATATATATATATATATATATATATATATATATATATATATATATATATATATTTTTTTTTTTTTTTTTTTTTGCCACTATCATTTTAACAACTAGGGTATTACATACATTTGTTAAGTCATATAAGTGTGGAAA